CTTTTCTCACCCCAAGGGAGACTCAAAGCGGTTTACACATAAGTAATGGCAAAATTAAATGCCAGTACAAACAATTACAATTATACACTACAATTAAACATAAATCAAATTAAAACCATACATCCATAAGCAATAAAACAATCATTAAAACAATAAAACAGTCTCGTTCGTCAAATTGTCTTCCTGAAATGCTGCATACATTTACTTCTATTGCCCGAAGGCCTGGTCCCAAAACCATGATTTTAATTTTTTTCTAAAAGCCAGGAGGGAGGGAGTGGATCTTACCTCATTTGGGAGAGTGTTCCATAGGCGGGGGGGCACAGCCGAGAAGGCCCTGTCTGTCGTCCCCGCCAGGCACATCTGTGCTGTTGACGGGAGCGAGAGCAGGGCCTCCCCGGATGATCTTAGATTACGAGGTGGGACGTAGGGGCGGATGCATTCAGACAAGTAAGCTGGGCCAGAACCGTATAGAGCTTTATAGGTCAAGACCAGCACTTTGAATTGGGCTCGGAGATGAACCAGCAGCCAGTCGAGCTGGCATAGCAGGGAAGTGGTATGCTCCCTGTATGCCGCCCCAGTTAGTAATCTGGCTGCCGCCCATTGAACTAGCTGAAGTTTCCGAACCATCTTCAAAGGTAGCCCCACGTAGAGCGCGTTGCAGTAATCTATTCGGGATGTAACCAGAGCATGGACCACTGTGGCCAGATCAGACTTCCCAAAGTACGGCCACAGCTGGTGCACGGGTTTTAATTATGATCCTCATATCCATGGAATTGATGCGTGCAGTTTTACTTATTCAAGATTTCTCTTTATTCATGCTTCCTGTAAAAGCTATACCCTCTTCTTGGTGGCACAATGGGTTAAACCGTGGAGTTGCTGTACTTGTTGACCAGAAAGTTTGGCAGTTTGAATCCGTGGGTTGGGATGAGCTCCAGCTGTTAGCCCCAGCTCCTGCCAACCTACCAGTTCGAAAACATGTAAATTTGAGTAGATCAATAGGTACTATCTTGGTGGGAAGGTAAATGGCACTCTATGTAGTCATGCCAGTCACATGACCCAGGAGGTGTGTACAGACAATGCAGGCTCATCGGCTTAGAAATGGAGATAAGCACCACCCTCCAGAGCTGGAGATGAAGGGGAACCTTTACCTTTATCTGTGTATCATTGTTTCAAGGCATTAAATGTTTGTCTTGGGTATGTATATGTACACATATGCTGGAATATGCCCTGAGTCTCCTCAGGGAGATAAGGTGGAATACAAATAAAGCGTGTTGTTGTTGTTGTTGTTGTTTACCCTATTTATACTCCACCTTTCTCTACCCCAAAAGGGACTCAAAGCGGCTTACATAGAGGCAATTATATGTGCAATGATTACAGAACAGCCTTGGATTATGATTTTTGGATGACGTGATTTAACACTGAATATAATGTTTTTAAATGTTTGTTATGTATTTTAATTCAATTGATTTTAAGCTTAATGTTTGAATATGTTCCAAGGCATTGAATAATTGCCATATGTGAACCACCTTGAGTCCCCTTCGGAGTAGAAAAAGGCCGGGGTATAAATAAGGTCAATAAATAATTATACTTTTCTATTCACAATCCACTCACAAATCCATGCAGATATACAAATTTGTTGTCCTTCCTAAACTCGCAACTCCCAGCTGTTTTTTTTTTTCTGTTCCAAATCATGACTATGAATAGTCAATTTAAGATCCCTTTTGGTGCCAAGACAGTGAGGCAAAAATTGGGCCTCTCCCCTGCCTTTCAAAGACTTCCTTCCCTGACTAAAGAAACATAGAAAGAACAAATGCAGAAGCAGAACAAACATTTATTTCACAGTCCATTTCCCAGCACGTTTAAACTTATATTAATGTCCACTAGAATTAAAATATACTAATTGGATTTCTCCATCATGAATTAAACATAATTCAGACTGAAGTGGAAAACTTCATTCCAGCAAAAAGAAACGCTTAATGGAATGCATGAACTTTCTAGAAATAATCAATGATACTTGATTTGGTGTAGTATATATCCCTAATTATTCAAGAGGATAAATGTTATTACTGTAATGATTTTGGTCTCTTAAAACTAAAACAATCTCCCTGACGTGAGCTTTTAAAATATTAGGGAAATAGTACCCTGAGTAATTTCCAATCTATTCTTGATGGCTAAAACCAGATCTACTTGCCCTGAGACAAATTACAATTTAGCCCCGAAAGACGTCATTCTCACAAATTATTTTGGTCCCCCCTGCTCTTTTCCATAAAGCAAAGAATAACAAGACCAACACTAACAGGAATTGATAGATTTGGTATTTGTTTTTCTTTTTACTGCTAGCATGAATCTTTTGTGTCTTTGTTACATATTCAACATGGTTGTCTTCTCTTATTATAACATGCATTTATCTGGAAGACTACACTTCCATCTACACTGCCATATAATCCAGTTTTTGAATCCAGATTATCTGTTTTGAAGTAGATTATATGACAGTGTAGACTCATATTATCAAAGCAAATAATCTGGATTCAGAAACTGGATTATATGGTAGTATCGCTCCAGTCTATGTCCCCTTCCACACAGCTGAATAAAATCCCACATTTTCTGCTTTGAACTGGAATATATGGCAGCGTGGGCTCAGATAATCCAGTTCAAAGCAGATATTGTGCGATTTCTGCCTTGATGTTCTGGATTATATGGCTGTGTGGAAGGGCCCTATGTTCCCCAATATGAACCTTCCAGAGCATCAAGGTCCTTGAGTAAGGACTTTATCTCAGCTCAACCACCACCAACCTCTCCGGCAAGAACATGGAAGAGGGCTTTTTTGGGGTCTGTCCCTACGATAAGGAATTCCCTGTATGGGAAGCTAGGTTATCCTATTACTCCTTCTTTCTCTGGCATGCAAAGGTCTAACTATTCAAGCAGGCATTTAATGATTAATGGGTTTCAGGATATCTTTTATGCTATATATGCTGAATTTTAACTTGTTGTGCTTTTAAATTATTTTTGATTTTTTTGGACTCTTAATAGCATTTTAAAATGATAGCTTGTTTAATTGTGTCCTAACTTTTTATTATCGGCTTTCTTGTTTTAGCATTTTCTCATTTTAGCCCTACACCTGGAAAAAAGGATACAAATCATAGTCATCCATTCATAAAATGTATGTTGTGATGTATTTATTGAATTGTTGATTTCCTGACTTGGACATTTAGGAATGACTTGTTTTTCAATGTGACACCATATGTTCAGGCCGAAGCAGGAACCTCAGGCTTCAGATGCAACAAAATAGGAATAGGGCACCCCCTGGGACAGTCTACACCTGTAGTCCAGAATACTGTCCAATTGGCAAATACAATTGGCCCTCTGTATCCCCAGATTCCGAATCTGTGGATTTCACTATCCACAGCTTTAAAAAAATCCCCAAAGCAAACTTTGATTCTGACATTTTATAGAAAGCACACCATTTTCCACAGATTTTTGTTCTGGAATCAAGCCCCAGCAGATACTGAGGACACGCTGTACTGAAATGAGAGTCATCTGATGCAATTGGGATTTCAAAAAGAAAAAAGCATTTCAAAATGAAAAGGAGCAACAACAGAAGTAGAAAAAGTTTAGCAGATCAAAAGATATTGGAGTCAGCAGTAGAAAAAATGAACTTCAGCAACACAGAAGAAGAGTCAAACTTAAAAGTTATCAAAAAACTTAATTCAAACAACTACTTATCTAGAGAGGAAAGTAAGGCAACTAGCTATCTAACTATCTAACTCACTGGAGACGTCTTGTCTTTCTCCATGCTCACAGAAGAAGAAAATAGAGGACTCATGGGGCTTGCCATGCACTCAGTAAAAAGAGATGTACCCCTAAGAAGTATCAGTCTAACAAGCAAACAGAGGACAGAGAGACAGGAAGACAAAGAGGGCAATATGGGAAGGGATTTCCCTGCTAACTCATCTACCTATCTATGTCCTTGATGAGGACTACGAACTTGTGCAGGATGTGGTTGAGTTCCAACACTTATCCCTCATTTTTGATAGCAAAGCATTTTATATTGACCTTGTGTATTTTGATACTAATTGTAAGTCACTCTGGATACAATCCACCATACCATACCCAAAAAAAGCACATATGGTAATGGCAACTTTAAACAAATATTATTCAAATTGATCCTTGACTGTGGTTACTGCAATTGAGAATTTCACTCTTTCATATCTAGTTTATGTCTAACAAGGTATAATTTTCCACTAAAGAGACAAGAGATTGCTTCTCTCAGTCATAGAATTTTGAATAACCAAACTCGGATGAAAATTCATGCTTTTATACAACCAAACCACAAAGCATCACTGTGATACCAGACCACTGAAAGAAACATCCACAGAAAGTCCAACTATCTAAAGTAGGATTGTGTTGGATGTTGTCCCAATGTTGTTAAATACTCTTGATCCTTAGTTATTGTAAAAGGAATACAGGAAGACATGACAGTTCCAGGATCTAATATGAGAGCAGAGAATATTGAACCCTTTGACTTTTGATGAACTAATAATTCCTTCATGTCTCACCAAACTGGAAAACTGGGAGGAGCCCTCGGTGGCGCAATAGGTTAAACCCTTGTGCCGGCAGGACTGCTGACCAAAAGGTCGGCGGTTCGAATCTGGGAAGCATCTGGGGAGCAGGGGGAGCTCCCATCTGTCAACTCCAGCTTATCATGCAGGGACAAGAGAGAAGCCTCCCACAGGATGGTAAAACATCTGGACATCTCCTGGGTAACGTCTTTGCAGACTGCCAATTCTCTCATGCCAAAAGCGACTTGCAATTTCTCAAGTCACTCCTGACACGAAAAATATAAATAAATAAGGATAACTGGGGTTGATAGGAACAAATATTCAACAACAATGATTTTTTTCCCCATCCGTGATTTAACATCTACCCTCAAATAGAGGAAATCACTAGAGACCCATATACTTCCCATTTGGAGGTAAGGGTCGTATTTTAAGCTATAGTACCTTTTACTTTTTGAAGGATCTTTCAAGTCACTTTTCCCATGGCTGTCCTCTGGAAGCTTGGCTAATTTCTCCCCTGTCTGTAGATTTAATTGTACATGCAATCCTGCAGGAACAGCTTGACCTGCAAATAAATGTTAGAAATTATAGGGGATATTTTCTTCTTCTTAAGGTTTTCTTTCTGTTTTCTTTTTTTCAGATGTACTTAAGACTGCGTTTTTTGTTTCAATGCTGCACAATGAAAAGTAGCCAATTACAGACATTTAAGCATGATGGAAAGCTTTTCATCTAACCAAAGTGAGTCAAGCTTGGGGTCACCTAAAGCTGCATTCCATACTGTGCCTTTTTCTGCACCAGAACCAATGAAGACAAAGCATTTCCAAGTGTTAATATTTCATATATTTAATTCATACTTGCTACTCCTCCTTACTTCTTTACTTCTATGGACCAAATTACTGTTATTTCTATTTATTTATTCCTGTTCACTAAATAGCCATCACTCTCACATTGAAACATTTACGTAAACGGAAACAATCACAGAGGGGGAAAAAATCACATATGGTCAGATCAATAAGGAAAGGCTTTAACTTTGAAAACAGCATGAGATTGCTTCAGTGCCCCGTTCCCAAAAAAAATGGAATTGTTATTGAGCTGCTTGGAACCAAAGCTGAGCCAGTTTAAAATAAGGCAGTCATTTCTATATCCTTGAACAATTCCCGAAGTGAAAACATTATGTACATTTGAAAACCATAGATGATCTGACAAAGACCAGAGAGCCTCCAGATTAACTCAATGATCTCCCAGTTGATCTGAAGTTCAAAAACATTAGGCTAGTAACTACTTCATGCAGAAGAACGGGATATAAAAATGTCAATTTTTGGTGAAGAACATAATGTTATTATCTGCATGCTTGTTTTTAAAATAAGTCCTATCGTTATAGAACAGGAGTTTTGGTGGAAAGACAAAAATACAAATATCAGAGCACTTCAGACAGAGTTGGAAACAAATCCAAAAGGTTCAAAAATTGCAGCTGTGCAGCTGCTGTTGGATTGCAGTTCCCATCATATCTCACCTCTGGCTTTGCGGGCTAGGACTGATGGAAGTGTCAACCCATTGAGTAAACCACCAACTGACTGTCTCTGCTCTTTCCCCTTATCTGACAGGAAATCCTACTCAACTCAATTTTTGAGTTATAGAATGATACTATAATTTAGCCTCATTTCCACAATTAAAGGTCTGGCTTTATTTAATTTAACTTTGCAGGACTGGGCATTTCCCATGTCATAAGTCAAAGATAATGAGTAATATGAACAACCTCCATGCTTAATTTTTGAGGATCATATTAAATTTAGAGAACCTCTGTATTAAGAGACAACATGGTAAAGTACTGGACTAGGACTTCAGAAGACCAGTGTTCAAATCCCTGGAAGTCCATAGAACAAGTCACACTTTTTAATAATAATAATAATAATAATAATAATAATCTTTATTTCTACCCCGCCACCATCTCCCCGATGGGGACTCGGAGCGGCTTACATGGGGCCAAGCCCGGAAAACATAATACAGCAATAAAATCAAAACATATACAACAGACAACAACAACATTATCAAAATGACATTAAAAATAATAATAAAATAAAATAAAAATTCCAATAGACACAATCATGATAGGAATGACAATCCCAGAGAAAGGAAATGGCAAGTATATTTTGACTAAGGGCCCTTCCAGACAGGCCCTATATCCCAGGATCTGATCCCAGGTTTTCTGTTTATACCAGATTATCTGGCAGTGTGACTCATATAAACCAGTTTAAAGCAGAAAACCTGGAGTCAGATCCTGGGATATAGAGCCTGTCTGGAAGGGCCCTAAATCTTGAAAAGAAAACACTAGAGGCGGTCTCTGTTGATTAGAAAACACATATACACTCACCATTTAATGCAGTTTCAAACCAGTATTAAAGAAAGTGTTTTCACTGTACATAGGAAATTCTGAAACCAGTTTGAGGCCCAGCTGATGATGATACAAACCACAGAGAATTAATGTGTATTAAGGTCTTTCTTTCACATTCTTTTGTAGAAATTTGTTGTCCAGCCATTGCAGTTTGAAGATAACTTTGAACTGCATTGAACGGTCAGTGTAGATGGGGCTAAAGTCAACCTGGAGGTACATAACAATAGCTGTACTCAGGGGCGGCTCGTTCATTACACGAAGTAAGCGGTCACAGAACACTTTTTTTTTGCCAGGGGCGCAGATGCGCCTCTGTAAATGCAGTAAACCACCACTTGAGGAGCGCCCCCTCAGCTCACAACAGCCCTAGCAGTCCAGGGGGAGCCTCAGATTTCTTGCCTCACTGCCAGGCGATCCTCTTCCCAAAGGGGCCGGGCCCTTGAGCCTCGCCTAGCCCCTCTCGTTCCTGCTCCACCTGGCCACTGGGTGCGCAAGCAGAGCCGGCGCTCAATTGTTCTCTGCATTCAATCCCTTCCCCATGACCGGCTCCCTTTCCCGATCCTCCGGCGCTCCACCCGCCTCCCCTCCTCTCCCCAATGTGCGGGTGGGCCAAGGGGCGGAGTCACCACGCCTGGCCCGCTTCGGGTCTGGAGGTGTGTCTGAAGACCCCAGCATGCGCACCAAAAGTCACCTCTTCTCCTGACTTTCTCTTCAGCCATTGGGACCAAGAGAGAGAGAGAGAGAGAGCCCCTCCGGCTGGAGGTATCTCCCACCTCCGCTCCCTCCTTTGTTTTTGCGCCTACCTTCAGGAAAGGTGGGCATCTCCACCTCTCTCTCTCTCTCTCTCTCTGTCCCAATGGCTGAGGAGAAAGTCAGGAGAAGAGGTGACTTTTGGTGCACACGCCGGGGTCTTCAGGCACGCCTCCGGACCCAAAGCTGGCCAGGCAAGGGAGCAAGTGCGGCAAGTGTAGTTACTGGGATGTATAGTTCACCTACAATCAAAGAGCATTCTGAACTCCACCAATGATGGAACTGAACCAAATATGGCACACAGAACTCCCACGACGAACAGAAAATATATATCAGTGATTGGTTGGGGGGAGGGGGGCAAAATACTGTTTGCTTACCATTGAAAATTACCTAGGGCCGCCTCTGGCTGTACTAAGACCCTTCCCCAAAAAGAGCGGCAAACATTTCTAGATATCAGCCTTCAGGTCCCATTTTGAATGTTGTGTAGGAACTGTCTAATTCCTATTGTAACAGGTACATAGAAATCTGAGAAGCTTACTATCTTTCCATTGGGTGACCAAGAATGATTAGAGGATTGAGAATAAAGGACAATGAAAACAGATTGCATAATATTTAGTGGGCTCCATGTACTCAGATCTTGTTTAATTGTCAAATAGAAGATGGACTGCATTTAGACATGCAACATGTTTGACATTTATCTCTGGTATATCCAACAACATTACAATTAATTTAAAGCCTTGTGTCCACCAGTTCTTTACCTGCCTTTCTTTACCTGTCTGAAATTTGTTTCTGAAAGATGTAAATAGAACAAACAAAACATGCCATAAATGAAAAATGTCATAAATACAAGGCAGCGCTGTCATTCCAATAAAGAATGATATTAATCGACTCAACATAAATAAATGTGCACATTGACAATATCTCAGCACAGGTACCTTTTGGAGATATTGATGGAAATGTCAGCTAAAACACAAGCTGGTTTTTAAAAATAGCTTCCACTCGCCAGAAAGCCTATCTTTAATATTTCATTTTTCCCTACTTATTAAGGAAACACGCCATGAAAATCAAAATAGTCACGCACACAAAAACAAACAAGTAATCCCTCAACTAGCAGCCTTTACTTAACGTTAAACATTTCTTCATTAACTATCGCTGGCCCCTGCTCTTTAATCAACAGAAACGCTTGTTGATTCAACTCCCTGTTACAGCTTGCAACCCCAATTAAGTCATAATTACTTTAACCATAAACATGTAAGCAATAATTGTATAAACTACCTTTCTAGTTGATGATGTGCCCAATAAGGCATGCAAACATTTTATCTACAGATTTCTATGTTCTTGGTTCTCTATGCAAATAAAAAAGAAGGCATGGCAATCTCAACATTTTCATAAGCGACTATAAAATTTATTGCCGAACTGGCAGCAACAAAGAACAGCTTCAAATATTTACTCCAAACGAGTCAGAACAAGATGTTAGAAACTTGGAGGTCTCTCCTTCAGGGTCAGCAGAAGCCAAAGTCGACTTGAAAGCAATTAACAACAAACAACAATGTTTGAAAGTGAAGAGGCTTTCACATCCTCATTAAATCTACTTTTCAGCCTAGCATAATGTAGATCATACAATATTTTTAATGACACTCTTTGAATGTTCACTAAATTATTTTGTGCTTTGGCCATTGTACCATTAAAACTTGGCTATCTGAAGCCTATACACGATACATGATTACATATTACAGTCAACCCTCCAGAATTTATGGGTTTAGAGGCACAGGGCTGCCGTAAAAGTGAATACCACAAAAAAAGAAATTGCTATTATTATTTTTACCAGAGAGAACACCTTTCTAGGAATTTCTAGGTCTTCCAGCATGAGGAGGGAACAAGTTTATTTTCTGTTGCTCCAGAGCAATGGATTCAAGTTGCAGGATAAGAGATTCCACCTAAACATTAGGAAGAACTGCCTGATAGTAAGAGCTATTTGACAGTGGAATATGCTGCCTCTGAAGGTGGTGGAGTCTCCTTCTCTGGAGGTTTTTAAACAGCAGCCGGATGGCCATCTGTCAGGAATGCTTTGGTTGTATTTTTCTGCATAGCATGGGGATGGATGGGATGGCCCTTTTGGTCTATTCCAACTCTAGGACTCTAGGATTTTATGACTGAGCATAGAAACACACTGGAGGACACAGAGATTCCTAGAGAGTACATTCTAAATCAAATATGTGCATAATAAAATCCACAAAACGTCACAAATATGGAGAGACATTTTACTGGGTCCCCCCCCCCCCATATTTTTAACCTGCACTCTGAGCACCACAATTAAAAGCAATCAGAAGCATGTATACAAATCAGAACTGCACAGGTAGCAAGAACTCAGAGCAAAAAGGGAAGAAAAAAAACACAGCCTAAAATAGCCCCCCAACCTGCCTTCCAGTATTAGCTAGGTAACTGCCACTTCATGAGTGTGAGGGAAAATATCACCTACAGCTAATTAAAGCTGATGGAATAAGATAAATATTTAATATAGAAATGGGCTGATCTGCCTAGTTAAGTGGACAATAAAGGAGCAGTTATTTGATGTGAGCTTCAACAGAGGCACTACAAAACAGAAACAAAACAAAAGCATATTCCACAGCTTTCATCACTTAATTATTGTACAGCTGAACCCTTAAGGGCAGTGGGGGACCCCATTATATATTTCCCAAACCATATGAAAGGCGAACATGGTAACATTGGATGAAAGTGAACACAAAACAATATTTGGTTACAGTAACACTACTTGGAGGGAAAAAGGAGAGGGGCTATGCTGTATTAGTGCATCTATTTTTATATGTTACTAGCCGTCCCCTGCCACGCGTTGCTGTGGCCCACATGGGGGTTTTATGTGGGAGGTTCCAATTCTATCATTGGTGGAGAATGCTCTGTGATTGTAGGTGAACTATAAATCCCAGCAACTACAACTCCCAAATGTCAAGATTCTATTTTCCCCAAACTCCACCAGTGTTCACATTTGGGCATATTGAGTATTCGTGTAGAGTTTGGTCCAGATCCATCATTGTTTGAGTCCACAGTGTTCTCTAGATGTAAGTGAACTACAACTCCAAAACCAAAGGACACTGTCCACCAAACCTTTCCAGTATTTTCTGTTGGTCATGGGAGAATGGTGTGTCAAGTTTGGTTCAATTCCATCATTGGTGGGGTTCAGAATGCTCTTTGATTGTAGGTGAACTATAAATCCCAGCAACTACAACTCCCAAATGACAAAATTTTTGAGTGAAGGACATACATTGGGTTGTTATGTGTCTTGTGTCCAAATTTGGTGTCAATTCGTCCAGGGGTTTTTGAGTTCTGTGACTACCACAAACGAACATTACATTTTTATTTATATAGATTTGCATAGCAGCTGGTCAGTTGCCATATAGGAAACACACCAGGGGTCAGGAATGCAACTGTGCCTTCTTTTTTGCTTTCTCCAAAGCCTGTTAGGCAGGATACTGCTTTATAGACTATGAATTATATGCTCATCCTGACTAATTGCCAATGCCTGACCTAACCTTCATGCATTTATCTAAGCCATTTCAAAGCTGGCAACCATGACTATATCTTGCTATGTTAAATTCTACAATGTAACTATATGAATAAGTTAGATCCTTCTATACTAGTGAATTCTAGAACTATGAATGCTTTAAACTAGTTCCAATAATGAAAAAGTAAAGAATGGTGGGAGGAAGTTAAACACATGCAACTAGAAAGATCTTCAAAGGAAATATTGCAAAATCAATTGCCATTTAAGGAATGAAAAAGAATTAAAGCTCAATACAATGAGGCCTTTGAACCATACAGTTCACCAAAGCACCGGTTTGGCCATATTGCAGAGATAAGTTGTAAGCCCTACTATCCCCTTCAAGATGCAAAGCTGCATTGGACTGGCCCCAGATTCTGCCAAAGTGTTTTCATCTCTCTGGTTTGAACCACAGCATTGGTGGGAGTAGAGTCCTGACTGTTCAGCCAGGCTGAACCCTTGTCGTAATTTGTCAACGCAAGTCACACAGGCACTTTTGCTGATGTCAAAAAAGGCAATAGTCAGGTCTCTGGACAAACAACAGCGAAGGTAAGTCACAGGGCCACTGAGCATGAGGAAAATGACATTGAAACACTAACCTGTGTGACCAGGAGAACCAGTTCTGAATCAGAATTTGCCAAGATGTTCACACACACACCATAATTTGAGGGAGTTCCAAAGCATTCCTCAATGTCTTCTAACTCAGGATAAAACAAAGTTAAGCAGACACCCAGGAGTGACTTCAAGCCCTGTTTGAGGTATGTGACCCTGTAGACAGGTCCCACGTCACACGATTTTAGAGCTTTCACAGTGGAGTGAAGTCATGTTCTGTACAGCACGGAATATATAAGCCTTGTACAATTAGCAATATTTAGTTTACCTGGCCGCACTCGTTGCCACTGATTTGTTGGGTAAAATACATCCAAGTCTTCAGGATCTATTTCCTCCTCCTCTTCCTCTACCAACTCTTTTTTGTTCTCTTCCTTTAAATCACTATCTTCTGTTTTTGTCAAAGCAAACTCCTTCAAGATAAGATACACCAGTTTAGAACTCTATATGGATCATTTTCTAATTGAATAACATGCTTTATTGACTTTAACTAAACAACCTTTCAAATACCCTAACTAAACAACCTTAACTAAACAACCTTTCAATTAACTGTGAAGCTATTTGCATTTTTTTTTGTCGTGTCAGAAGCGACCTGAGAAACTGCAAGTCGCTTCTGGTGTGAGAGAATTGGCAGTCTGCAAGGACATTGCCCAGGGGACGCCCAGATGATTTGATGTTTTTATCATTCTTGTGGGAGGCTTCTCTCATGTCCCCGCATGAGGAGCTGGAGCTGATAGAGGGAGCTCATCCGCCTCTCCCCGGATTCGAACCTGCGACCTGTCAGTCTTCAGTCCTGCCGGCACAGGGGTTTAACCCACTGTGCCACCGGGGGCTCCATTTGCATATAAAACAGAGTTAAAAGAGATTACTACATATTCTCAAGTATGAGTGAAACTCACACTATATTCTCAAGTACAAGTCGAGGGAAGGTTTTGGATCCAAAATTATGGATCTTGATATGACCTGTGGATAAGGCAAGAGAGGGGGAAGAACAACTCTACTTAAAATGGGGATAGGTCATATATATATATATATAGAGAGAGAGAGAGAGAGAGAGAGAGAAAACAGAACTCACATTGACCCATGAATAAGTCAACCCAGGTTTTTTGGATTAATGTTTTGACTAAAATGACTGAACAAGCCTATCTTACCAACACCAATCCATTTCAATGACTGGATACTTACTGTAACTCTATCATTTAAGCATGAAGAGAAACTTGTTATAAAAAGCAGCAAGACCATCAAGTTGAGCTTCATCACAATGGACCAAAAACAGATGCTGTGAGACATTACAACCTGAAATGAAACAGCAGATTAATCAAGTTTCCTTTCCCCTTTTCATCATGTCAGCATCACTTTCTCAATATTGTACAATTTTATTGTTTAGGGAAGTGGTTCTCAACCTGTGGGTCCCCAAGTGTTTTGGCCTACAACTCCCAGCATCCAAGCCAGTTTACCAGCTCTTAGGATTTCTGGGAGTTGAAGGCCAAAGCATCTGGGGACCCACAGGTTGGGAATCATTGTTCTTGGGAGACTCCATAGCATGTAAAAACGGCACTAAGCAGTAAATGTTTCCATTGGGTTACATCAGGAGAGGCATCTCTAGAAGTTGTTGGGCTGCCATTCCCCTCAATATGGACAGGCGCAACCAGAGGGGAGGTATTGGAGAAGACAACAACACCTGGAGGGCCTCCGATTTATCTCTCAAGGACCTAGTGATGAATAAGTTTCACAAAATACAATCTATTCAACAATGGGTTTTATTAGTCTTAGGAAATGAAATCAATAAAGCACCCATGTAGGTAAGAATATACTATCAATGTATATGTTTATTTAGCCTAGATGTAAATTTTGAAATATGCATTGCTTCTCAAGGTATCTGATGTGGGAAACCAGCAATTTTCCCCACACATATTTGTATCATGGAATGCAACTGTTTCTTTATTTTCTGAAAACATATTCCACCAGTCCAGGGACCACCAATTTGAGGAGTGCTGGTTTATGTAGCATCACTCATGCTAAACACATTTGTGGCTCAAGATATTTTGTCTTCCTATGTATGTATGGGAAGATATATTATGTATAGATGTGCACATTTCTGCACTCCATAGACACTTGAGTACAAGACCACTTCAGGTATAACTTGAAGACAACTTTGTGGGCCAAAATTATAGATTTTGATATGACCTGTAGATAAGTTGAAGGTCATTCCGTAGGGAGGAGAAAACACCAATGCCATTAGCAACTATTATCATTCTTTTCTTTTCTCAGCATAGAGACAGCAACAAAGGGGAAACCACTTACAAAGTGAATCTGAGCTGCTGAACAACTGTGTGGGAGATGGATGACAACTTGAGAGAGCCAGGTTATTCCCAATGAGTCCCAGGCCTCAAGGTTTTCTGTGTATTGGAAGTGGACCTAAGAGGTGTGTATCTGTGCGTCACTTCACAAGGCACAGATACACACCTCTTAGGTTTGCTTCACATTTGTCAGCCATCTTCACAGAGAACCTGTGCCAGAGGCAATGGTCATTTTGCTCACTCTTGCTGTGCCAAAGGTACCCCCAAAATAAGGCAGAAAGTAAAATCTTGCCTGGCCTGACACTCAAACCTTGTGTGTTAGACAGTTGGGCAAGGTCAACACCAAACAAGTGAGGTTTCTGGGGACTTTCTCTGGGAAGAAAGGTGGATGGAAAAAAATCCCACTGAATACACTGCCGATAATGTTTTAAGAGGGAGATTATTTTCCAATGTCACACTTAACTCCTGAAACAATTCCATCAGTGTTTCCTCTGAAAAAACCTACAAATCTCTTGGGAAGACAGGCAGACAAATGTCAGCGTGCTGGAAGAAGCAAAGACCACCAGCATTGAAGCGATGCTCCTACACCATAAATTCTGCTAGACTGGCCATGTTGTTTGAATGCCCAATCACCATCTCCCAAAGTAGTTACTATAGTATTGGAAAACGTAATGTTGATGGGCAGGAAAAGAGATTTAAAGATGGGCTTTAAGGCAACCTTAAAAACTGTGGCACAGACACTGAGAACGGGGAAACCCTGGCCCTTGAGCACTCTAACTGGAGATCAACTGTGACCAGAGGTTCTGCGGAATTCAAAGAGGCACGAATGAAGGGTGGAAGGGAGAAACGTGCCAAGAGGAAGGCACATCAAGCCAAACCTGACGGGGAACGCCTTCTACCTGAGATGTCCTCACTGCAGAAGAACATGTGAGTCAAAAATAGGGCTCCACAGTCACTCACATATCCACCGCCAAGACACTACACTTGGAGGCCCATCATCCTTGGACTACATAAGTAAAGTAAGTAAGTAATGAATTCTTGCTTTCATCTACCTTCAAGATATACAGCATTACATCCAAAAGCACAACAGTTGACTAAGGAACAGAAGGGAAAAAAATCAGTTTCGCAATATAGTACAGCCCATGTATTTATGTGGGATACCTCCCACGTTTCCTGAAGGATACCTAAAATCAAAGATAATAGTGAACCCTATCTTTTGATTTTATGAGCTGCAAGCATATCATAGACTCACACAAGAAGACTAAGGGCCCTTCCAGACAGGCCCTATATCCCAGGATCTGATTCCAGGTTTACTGTTTATCCCAGATTATCTGGCAGTAGGGACTCATATACTCCAGTTTAATGCAGAAAACCCGGGATCAGATCCTGGGATATAGGGCATGTCTAGAAGGGTCCTTAGATGGGCCCAAAAATATTTCCAGCAGGATCTGGGGAGGGATGGGGCTTGGATAAGTGAAACCAGGATACTGAATCCATGAATAAGGGGGTAATACTTTACTTTGATAAATTAATAATCCTTGAGAAAAACTAGCAGTTTGGAATCTGAGTTTTTTACCTAACAATCAAGGGGGAAATGAGCTATAGACAAGAGAATGAAGCCAACAAGCTCTAGTTATTCACAAGAACTTACCCCACAGGAATATCATGAGGGTAGTTTTACAACAAACTGGAGGACCTGAACAACCATAGGATGGGAGGGCATTGCTATTGTTGCATCATAAGCATATGCTGCTGTAAATACACCCTGTGATTTGCCAAGAGATGTATGTGAATGTCTACATAAAAATACCAAGAAAATTGAGGCCAAATACTAATTTCTCCCCCTTTCTTTAAGGCTTTATGGGGAGAAATGTCATTCTGGAATATTTTCTCATAGAATGATGAATGAAATGCTTAACAGAAAGAGTTCACATATTTATTCTTTCCGTGTTAATTCTAAAAAGTAGTAGCAAGTGGATTTTTTTTGTAAGACTATGTTCAGAAGTGCTCTGAAATAAAAAGTAGAGATCTGTAGACCACTATCAATGTGTGGGCTGCTCACATACGATGGGTTCCCAGGAACGAATCTATGATTCTATGGCTTAGACCAGGGGTCCTCAAACTAAGGCCCGGGGGCCAGATACAGCCCTCCAAGGTCATTTACCCGGCCCTTGCTCAGGGTCAACCTAAACAACTTGAAAGCACACAACAACAGTATAAGTCCTATCTCATCAGCCAAAAGCAGGCCCACACTTCCCACTGAAATACTAATAAGTTTATATTTGTTAAAATTGTTCTTCGTTTTAATTATTGTATTGTTTTCAAGTGTTTTTTTGCACTACAAATAATGTATGTGCAGTGTGCATAGGAATTCATTCATGTTTTTTTTCAAATTATAATCTGGTCCTCCAACAGTTTGAGGGACTGAGACCTGGCCCTCTGTTAAAAAAAACCTGAGGACCCCTGTCTTAGACCATCTGTCGGGGGTGTTTTGTTTGTGCTTTTCGTGCATGGCAGCACTCTTTCGCAGAGAAGGCTAAAGATCTTGTAAAGCTACAACACCCAGGATTCCGCAGCCTAGAGTCATGGCAGTTAACATGATCTCAAACTGCATTAATTCTACAGTATAGATGCACCCTGTGAGCTTGACAGAGGTCCCTTCTACATTGTTGCATAAAATCCAGATTATCTGCTTTGAACTGGATTATATGTCAGTGTAAGGTAAAGGTAAAGGTAGTCCCCTGACATTAAGTCCAGTCATGTCTGACTCTGGGGTGTGGTGCTCATCTCCATTTCTAAGCCGAAGAGCCAGCGTTGTCCGTAGACACCTCCAAGGTCATGTGGCCGGCATGACTGCATGGAGCGCCGTTACCTTCCCGCCGGAGCGGTACCTATTGATCTACTCACATTTGCGTGTTTTCAAACTGCTAGGTTGGCAGAAGCTAGGGCTGACAGCGGAAGCTCACGCCGCTCCCCGATCAACAAGCTCAGCAGCTCAGTGCTTTAACCCACTGTGCCACCGGATTATCTGCTTTGATAATATGGATTATATGACAGAGTAGAAGGAGCCTAAAGGCCCTTCCACACTGCTCCTTTATCCCAGGAAATGATCCCTGGTTTTCTATTTATCTCAGATTATCTGGCAGTGGGGACTCATATGTTATAGTATAAAGCCTGGACTGGATCCTGGGATATAGGGCCTGAGGGCCCCTTCCACACAGCCCTATATCCCAGAATACCAAGGCATAAAATCCCACAATATCTGCTTTGAACTGGGTTATCTGAGTCCACACTGCCATATATTCCGGTTCAGAGCAGAAAATGTGGGGTTTTATTTGGGCCTCAGTCGAGAGGGACGAGGAAGCAGCTCAGGAGCGCCCCACTTTCCTCCCTCAGCCCCTCCTCTCCGTCCCAGCTGCTTAGGCAGCCCCCTCCCTCTCCCTACCTCTTTGCCAGCCTGCCTTCCAGTAGGAGCCAGAGGCGAGAGAGCAGAGCCCCCCGCCAATCAGGAGAAGACACGTCACCGCCTCCCGCCTCCTTCTTTTCTTTCCAGCAAAGCAGCTCCGCCCACTCCGAAGAGTCACGTGACTTCACTAGCCTGTAGAGATAAAAAAGATTAGAGGACCCCTCCCCGGCTCTAGAAAGGGAACTACCGACCTCTTCTGGAGAAGACGAGGAAGTGTGTCCACCGTGGAATCTGTAGTCAAGTAATCAGAGGAAGATTAGGGCTTGAAAGGGAGTTATGAAGATTAAGAAGCCCTTTCTACACTGCCATATAAAATGCAGATTATCTGCTTTGAACTGGATTATATGGTAGTGTAGCCCTGCCCTTGCAAACCACAACTTTATTACACAAGCCCCTGCCTTCCGAGTCTATATTCGATTACTATGTCAGTCTATGGATTGATTGATGGTGTTTTTTTATGTTGTTTTATGATGTTATTTTTTATAAATTTTACTTACGTTTGACCGGCTCTGTCCCCATGTAAGCTGCCCCGAGTCCCTTTGGAGAGATGTTGGCAGGATACAAAAATAAAGTGTATTGTTATTTTACTTTTTTGTCATGTCAGGAGTGACTTGAGAAACTGCAAGTTGCTTCTGGTGTGAGAGAATTGGCCGTCTGCAAGGACGTTGCCCAGGGGACGCCCGGATGTTTTGATGTGTTACCATCCTTGTAGGAGGTTTCTCTCATGTTCCCGCATGGGGAGCCGGAGCTGACAGAGGGAGCTCGTCTGCACTCTCCCCAGATTCGAACCTGCAACCTGTCGGTCTTCAGTCCTGCCCTCACAAGGGTTTAACCCACTGCGCCACAAAAGCACAGTTTGACACAGCAAACGAGATACATATGCTGGGTTTCGTATCACAAAATGACAAGTCAAACACTTCCCAAGCTTTAGGACTGTGTGATGTATTTTCGGATAATGCGTGCAGATCCAAGTAAGGTGGCCTTTTGCAGTTGACAGATCATGATTTTGGCTGAGATCTTTATTATTATTATTATTATTATTATTATTATTATTATATGGATTACCTGCCTTCATGATGTGGATTATATGGCATTATACAAGGGTCCTGAGATGTCAAGATACATAATTGAAAACTAAAGTTGGAATTGTCCAAGTTACAATATTTTGCCATTTCTATGTATGGATGTGAAAGCTGGATAGTGAAGAAAACGGATAGGAAGAAAATCTACTCCTTTGGGATGTGGGGCTGGAGGAAAGTTCTATGGATATCATAGACTGCTAAAAGATCAATAAATGGGTCCTAGAGCACATCAACTTAGAACTCTCTGTAGTAGCCAAGGGCCCTTCTACACAGCCATATTACCCAGAATATCAAGGCAGATAATACACAATATCTGCTTTGAACTGGATTATCTGAGTCCACGCTGCCATATAATCCAGTTCAATGTGGATTTTACACAGCTGTGTGGAAGGGTCCCAATATAACTACATTTCGACTGTGCTACTTTGGCCATATTATAAGGAGACATAATTTACAGGAAAATGAAATGTGTTTGGTAAGGCAGAAGGCATTCCAGGTGGGTGGACTTCATCAAGGAAGCTACAGCCATCAGAAGAGGCAGGTCATATACATAAAACTTATAAAAAAATTCCTGCCTCTCCTGATGGCTGTAGCTTCCTTGATGGAGTCCACCCACCTGGAATGCCTTCTGCCTTACCAAACAATTTTGTGTTTTCCTGTGAATCAATGTTGCACTATGTAACATGATTTTTGTTCCTGGGTTATAAATGTCATTTCCCAATTAGTTCTAACATAAAAATATGGGAAAAGATTATTAAAGTGTTTTTGTGAGATATTCCGCAGCACATTTTGCAGTGAGTTGCCCTGTTGGAGGAAGGGTCTCTCATTCATAAAGGCACCATAAGTCAAAGTCGACTCGACAGCAGTTAACAACACAAATACATTACTCTCCTAATATTGTTTGATAATTGCAGAAGAAGACTAGGGCCCCATCTACAGTCTCATAATCCAGGTTATCAAAGCAAATCATGTTATCTGCTTTGAACTGGATTATATGAGTCTACAGTGGCATATAATCCTGTTCAAAGTAGATTATCTGGATGTTATACAGCAGCATAGAAGGCCCCATCCACACTGGCTGTTTAATGCAGTTTGAAGCTAGACAACGGATGCCCACAAAAGTGTGCGAAAGAAAAGGCCTTAATGTGCATCATTGGAGAACTCCTTTAAAACCCAGCCCAAACTGAGAATACATTCATTGCATGGAGCCAGCAGCCACAACCAGTGACCATACAAATGAAAGCCAAAAAGGCATGTATTAACAATCAAGAGCGGATCTTCCTTGACTGAATCTATGTCTTTTCAATGAATCACATTCTCAGCACAGTCCTGCACATGGCTTCTTTTCCTGAACAGAAAGCAACATCAAGACACATGAAGCCCTGATTTCCTTGGATGATAGGAACTTTTCTAAAAGAGAGGAGTCTACCTACAGTGTAGGTTGTTTAGAATTCCTCAATCCAAAATGGTTCACTTGGATGGCTGAGATTGTAACATCTTTGCTTTCTGATGGTTCACTGTAGACAAACATGGTGATGAAGGAGGCCAAAGGAGATGTTGGCAAAAATCCTGAAGCAACAAAGGAGTCCTTGGGAGAAGTAGGACACAAGGGAGCTGAATGAAAGAAATGTATTGTTTCTGCTTTGCTTAATATTATCTATAGTCCGATCTTGTCTGCTTAGTAACAATTACCATGCTTTTTCTATATAAGATAATGGACTACACTTTCTTCTGAAACTAAACTTAAAAAAACAAAACTTATTTTAGAGAGTATTTAAGCACATGCGACTTCGTCCTGGGTTGTTTTATTATTATTATTATTATTATTATTATTATTATTATTATTTTCTCAAGGTGACTTGATCCCACATCCCAACTGGTATAAAGCCTGTATTTCTTCACCCAAAAAGGAAAGATCTCTCAAGTGATCATTTGGGATAAAGTACCCTTTCAGTTTCATGTACAAAACCATTTAAAATATTGTAATTGTATAAGTTAAACCTCTGAGCTGCTGAACTTGCTGACAGAAAGGTTGATGGTTCAAATCTAGGGAGCAGGGTGAGCTCTTGTTGTCAGCCCCAGCTTCTGCCAACCTAGCAGTTCAAAAACATGCAAATGTGAGGAGATCAATAGGTACCGCTTCGGTGGGAAGGTAACAGCACTCCATGCAGTCATGCTGGCCACATGACCTTGGAAGTGTTTACAGACAACACCACTCTTTGGCCTTGAAATGGAGATGAGAACAACCTCCCAGAGTCGGACATGAGTTGACTTAACGTCAGAGGAAACGTTTACCTGACATCAATTTTGTGTTTCAACTTGGGCCCCATCTCCAAAATATCTCATTATATTTGTATATGTAAATACCAGGATGGATCTACGTTGCAGAATACATGTCGCTTGACTCAATACTAGGGAATTTTGGGAATTGTGGTCTTTAGCTTGGGCCCCTTTCACACAGCTGAATAAAACCCCACATTATCTGCTTTGAACTGGAATATATAGCAGTGTGGACTTAGATATTCTAGTTCAAGGCAGATAATGTGGGATTTTCTTTGAAGTCTTTGAAGTTCGATCTTTAAGTCCTCATATCGTGTCAACTTAAAGATTGAACTTCAAAGACTCTGGCACAAGCCAGTAAAGGTGGTCCCAGTGGTGATTGGCACACTGGGTGCAGTGCCTAAAGACATTGACCCGCACTTAAACACAATAGGTGCTGACAAGATTACCATCTGCCAGCTGCAGAAGTCCTCATATCGTGTCAACAGGAGCCCCCAGTGGCACAGTGGGTTAAAGCACTGAGCTGCTGAGCTTGTTGATCGAAAGATCGCAGGTTCAATTCCGGGGAGCGGCGTGAGCTTCCGCTGTCAGCCCTAGCTTCTGCCAACCTAGCAGTTTGAAAACATGCAAATGTGAGTAGATCAATAGGTACCGCTCCGGCGGGAAGGTAACGGCGCTCCATGCAGTCATGCCGGCCACATGACCTTGGAGGTGTCTACGGACGCTCTCTTCGGCTTAGAAATGGAGATGAGCACCACACCCCAGAGTCAGACATGACTGGACTTAATATCAGGGGACTACCTTTACCTTTACCTATCGTGTCAACTTTTCCAGTTGTTTCTTCTTCTTCTTATTATTTGACATCACTTTAACTGCCATGGCTCAGTGCTATAGATGCAGATGGTAATCTTGTCAGCACCGATTGTGTTTAAGTGTAGGCCAAAGATTATGATGATGATGATTATGGCTCTGTGGAAGGTCCCTTTTGCTGCCAGAGTGCTGGTGCTTCAGAAAACTACAATCCCCAGGATCCCACAGCAGTGAGGCATTGCAGTTAAACTCCACTACGGTGTAGATGAGGCATGGGCAAATTTGGGCCCTCCAGATGTTTTGGACTGCAACTCCCAGAATTCCTAACAGACTCAGGCCCTTTCCTTTTCCCCCTCAGCCGCTGAAGGAAAAGGAAGGAGCCTGAGGCGGTTAGGAATTCTGGGAGTTGCAGTCCAAAACACCTGGAGGGCCCAAGTTTGCCCATTTCGGGTGCGAGGTTAGCCACTCTATACCAAGATACGGAGACTTCGCAGCAGGCGAAAGAAAATGGGTTCTTTTCTCGCGATACTTGAAGGGGGCGGGGGAAGAGACGCGTTCTCGCGCGACTCAGTGCGTGCCTACAAAGCGCTGCTCGCGCGGTGAAGACGACGCATGCGCGGGTGGATTAGTGGTCTACGGCGAGCCGTGCGGGAGCGAAGCTTACGCAGCTTCGTCTGAGGAGGGAGTTTCCCCGTTTCTCTCCTCCTCTGGGGTGCTGTGTCCTGCGTATGCTTGTGGCGTCGGATAGCTGAAAAGGCCGGTTTCTTTTTTACTAAGGTAGGCCACGCCGTGTCTGATACTGCGAAGGCCGCCAGAGCTTGGCGTCTTCCGGCCTAGACCGTTGGAAAGCCAGCGAGGGTGGGGGGAGGGGGAGAGGCTCTAGAACCGTCGTGAGGCTCTTACGCATGCGCAGTCGGACGGGAGGTGAAACCATGGCGCCAGAGTTGGAAGGAGGGGGAGTTCGCGTCAGCGCTCGAGGAACAGGAAAGCGGCGGAGCGCATGCGCGAGAGGCGGGGCCGCAGAGCCCTTTCCTTTTCTCCTTGGTTCCCGCCAGTGCCCATCAATACCTCTTTGTTCCCTTTTCTTCCTTGTAGGTAGATTGTCTTCTCTGGCCCGTCTCGTGCGAATAGGTTCGTTAGAGAAGTGCTTTGTAAAGCTCTCGGCCATGCTTAATGTTGATTTTACAGCACAGCGATAGAGAAACGGGAAAGCATGCTCCCTATTAACGACGCTGTTTGAACAAGGCCAACGCTTACCTCTTTTAGGCGTCTTATTTATTTATTTAGAGCTTTTATAACCCGGTCTTCTCGACCTCCAAAGAGGGACCCAGGCTGGCTAACAACAGGAAATTCATACACAAATAGGATTTTAAAAAATAACATCGTAATAACATTAATACATTAAAATACAGATCAAATAATTACATAAAACCAAGTCGTCAAGGTAAAATCACAAATTCATCACCATCCGCCAGTGCGGTCAGCAGTTACTGACCCAATCATCATTCTACAAATGCTATATTCCAGAGCCAAGATTTTACCAGCTTTCTGAATGTCAGGAGGGAAGGGGCAGATCTAATCTCCATCGGGAGAGAGTTCCAGAGCCAAGGGGCCGCCACTGAGAAGGCCCTGTCCCTTGTCCCCACCAGACGCAATTGCGAAGGCACACCGGAAGAGCCAAGTGTCTTGTTAGCACTTGAGGCATAGTTGAATAACGAAGGGCCCTTCCACACATCCATAGAATCCAGAATATCAAGGCAGGTAATCCACAATATCTGCTTTATGATTATAATTATTATTATTATTAGTTATAATCCAGGAGCCCCTGGTGGCACAGTGGGTTAAAACCAACAGGTCACAGGTTCGAATCCGGGGAGAGGCAGATGAGCTCCCTCTATCAGCTCTAGCTCATGCGGGGACATGAGAGAAGCCTCCCACAAGGATGATAAAACATCAAAATCATCCGGGCGTCCCCTGGGCAGCGTCCTTGCAGACGGCCAATTCTCTCACAACAGGATGCTCCTGACACGACAAAAAAAAAATATATAACCCGCCACCATCTCCCCAAAGGGGACTCGCAACGGCTAACATGAGGCCAAGCCCAAAAATAATACAACATAATTAGACAGAAACAACAAAAAAATACATCATAACAAAATATATAAATAACAAGTAAAATATGCAGAATAAAATAGCATAGTAAAAGCAAACACAAAGGGTGGGCCAGATTTATGAGATAAAATGTTAAAAAGTTAAAAACCTGGATGAAATAGGAATAAATATATATTTGTGAGAGGAGCCCAAGAAGGAGGAGCAATGGGGTTTGGCCTTTATAAAGGACAGGGGAAGCTGCTTTATCATGAGGACAGTTAAAGGTGGAAACAAACAAATGAGTTGAGTGGTCACTCTCTGAAGGCACACCAGAAGAGCCAAGTTTTTAGCTCTTTCTTGAAGGCTGCTTTGAACTGGATTATCTGAGTCTACACGGCCATATAATCCAGTTCAATGTGGATTTTATATAACTGTGGAAGGGGCCTGAAAAGCTATAGACACACTTTGCATCTACTGTCTCTCACATCAATGTCAATGTGATAAGGTGGTAAGATGACACCTGCAATGCCACAACTTACCTCTAACAACATAGTTTGCTACAGGAATATTTTACTTTATGAAAATGAAATTAATAGATTAACCTGCTTTTGGTGTCTTGTTAGTACACGAGGCCTACTTAAACAACTGTTAGTGTGTTAAAAATGGCCCCTCAGCACAGTGCTCTGCATCTACTTTCTCTCACACCAAACATCTTATAAGATGAAACCTGCAATAATCCAAGTAATGTCTGAAAACATCGTCTGCTTCAGAAACACCTGTATGCAAATATCGTTAATAGATTAATCCACTGATACTTGAGGGAACAGTCACTTTGAAATAATGGCTTGGCTACTTAAGGCCCTACTTTAAATGTGATACAGTGATATTGTTAACAGAAAAGAAGACCAGATGTGTTAATATCTAGCCCCAGAATGGCTAACTATTTTAACTGGAGACACCTGCTGAAAGCCACAAAACTGCCAAAAATAAATAAACTAATCAAAAAAAATTCTAGGAAAGACAGGCCAACCAGTTATGACTCCAAAAGACAGTCCAGGGAATCTGAAAGAGTCAAAGGCCATAATATTTCCTGAGCGAGATGTAACCATTATAGTATAGGGTGTTTCAAAAAGATGGATCTGGTTTGAAATCACTACACATTTGTGACAATGAATCACCTCTTAACCTTTTGAAAGTGTGGGGCATACAGTTTCAAATTGTTTCCTTTCCAATAGATTTTTCTCACAGCTTACAAACAGCCTTTAGCTCTAGTCATTCACAAGATGTAGACATATGGCCAAATGACATATTCTCAATTTGCAGAATTATTTCTTTAGATTTGTTTCTGGCTCAAAATGATTAGTAAAACTTGAAAACTGTTAAACTATTTGTTACTTTTTGTGTCAGTGTTATATGTTGCTGTGAAATATACTGCTTTGAAATTGGATCGATCATTTTGAAGCACCCTGTATTTTGCATTATTCCATAGTAATTTTTGTCTACACTTAATTAGCTATAAGGTGTGTTGAATTTACTGGGCTTCATTCAGAATACATGGAGAACAATACTGGATTACCTCCATATCTGCAGGATATAGGTTCCTAGCCTCGCTGTAGATATGTAAAATTATATAATAGTAAATCCTTTTGAATACCATAGAGTTGTGCTGGATGACCTGGATAATGCCTAAAGCATATGTATTTTGTTGGATATATTGTTGTTTTAAATTGTTTTTAAATTGTGTTAGATTTTAGCCTGTTCTTGTAAGCCGCTCTGAGCCCCAGGGGAGTGGCGGCATATAAGTTTGAATAAAAATAAATAAATAAATATGGATCAGTTAAACTGCAAGCAACTGTACTACAGATACAGGGATCATATTGTATATTGTATCATGATAGTTCAGGGACAAGTGCTGCTCCACAAATTAATTAATACCAATCCATAGCATTAAAAAAAAACAGTCATAATCAGTAGACATGGATCTGGTCCTTGCATATGGTTGGTGGTAGGAACTTCTGCAGGTCTTCAGCATTTGATACCCAAAGAAACACTGATGTAAAACATATTGTTCTTCTTTTACAGAATACTTTGATCTTAGTTTTTAGGTTTATTTCAATCAGAATTGCGAACTTTTTTGTTCAGGTTTACATCAAATGTGGTATGCATCTCTTTTAAAGCTTTTACTTAAAACTTTAAAGTAAAATATGTAATACTAAATTTGCCCATGTTTTATCTGATAATTATTACTTTTGGAAGATGGGAATATATACAAATGTCGGTTTAATATATTCCTAGATGAAAACCTCAGTCACTTCTTAATGGAATGGACTTGTATGCTATGTCAAATATATCATATTAGGTAGACACATACAAAGAAGATATTCTGCCTTTCAGTAAGACTGAAGGGAAAACCTTTTTGGGTAAACTGATGTGTTTGTTTGTCCAAAGTCAATATGATACATTTAGAGCTGCCTAATTCATTGTATTGATATTGAAAGAACGTTGCAATTGAACCGGGTTTCTTTTGTGTCGGATTTTGTTTTCCTTGTTTGTGATTGTGTATTCTATTTTATATTAGTCTTTGCACTTGCTGAAAATTAAAAAGGCTATGGACAATTTATAAGGGTTTCAGGGTAGATACAATCAATATGTTGAAATTTAAAATTCCTTTGCAAATGAAAACATATAGTGATATACCTCAGGTAAGGAGACATTTTCTGAACATTACTAGTCAAACAGAAAATTTGATATCGGAGACAGAAAAAAAAAACTTGGAAGGAATAGGCATAGTTCCCTACATTACAAAAAAAAGAAAACGTCCAACCCATTTCAGTCAACTTGTTATTCAAAACTCACAATATGCATATGTGAAATGAACAAACCGGGTCACTAAGCCTTGTACAAGTAAACAAAAATAAGTTGATTCTAGAGACTACTTGTAAGATTCTTCCAAGATGCATCAACGGATGACTTTCTTTCATTCGATTTCACTTTGTTTGATTTCTATTTTAGTAGATAAAAGTTATAGATTTATATTACTTTTAATTTGTGGTGATTAAGTGAGAGAGGCTTTCTCCTCTTTTTTCTGTTTTTCTGTTCATTCATACATACTTGGGATTGTGGAGGCAGCTGCTGTTTACTTTGCCTGTTGTAGACACAAAGCTGCCATGAAAAATGGCTAAAGTAGCATCTCCATCTATTCCAGCTTGATTTTTATTGAACTGATTATTGAAAACATATTTAGCATCAAATGTCTGTTTCTCCACTTCTTCTTCACCGGTCTCCCAATGCCAACTGGGAAAAAATCTAGCTAGATGGAACAAAATAAATTGTAAAAAAAACAAGCCTCTTTGACAGAGGTTTTATTCATCGAGATAAGACTGTACTCCAAACCACGTTTCAAGGTTGACAAGAATTATACATTTTTCCTGGGTAGCTTCCAGTAGGCATTCTAAGACATATTGGCTGTGTTAGAGTTAAGCTTGAAATCAGTTGTTGAAATTAAATGCTTCCATATTCTCCTAGGCTGGGCTTCTATTGTATTCTAAGTTCACGTCCCCCCCCCCCCCCCCCCCCCAAAATGTAAAACCATCTCTTTTTTTCAACTAAGATTAAGCAAGAGATCAGGCATTTATGTAATGTAGCTCCTTCAAGTTGTAGAACATCTTTAATCTTAGTCTTTTCTCCAACCTATATCCAATAATATCCTAATAGTGGGACAGAACCATCACATGTGGGTAGCCTGATGTTTCTAATGAAGGTCAAAAGGAAAATCATGTGGATCTTAGGTAATGTGAGGTTTTCTCAGCTACCAATTTAATTCTACTTGAAGAAATTTAGATGTTCTATTCATGTTTGTTAGTTTCTTTGCGTATATTCACTTCTCATTCTCTCAGCCCTGTTGAAACGCCACCATTTTAAAGCTGTCTTTCTCATCATATTCAAAAACCTTTTAACATGTATTTGAAGTGCCTTATTCTGTAATCTTAGAAATAATAGTTCAAAGTACTCGTGGTCTGAAGTGCTCTGATTCATGTTCATGTAAGCTATTGAACCAGCATTGTATAAATTGAAATCAGTGCCTGTGCAATGGATTCTGAACTTGAAAGGTGGGAGACAGTTGCTTGCTTATATAACCTTAGCACCCCCCTTTTTTCTTTATTCTCTTAAATGTTCCATTTTCCATACATAAGCTCACAGCATTGATTTAAAGAAAGCTTTTGAACATTCTGAAAATATCCATTTCCTTTCTAGTCCTGTTTCTTAATCATTAGTTACTAAATACAGTCAGTTGAAGTTTTGGGAACAAAAAATACAGCATATTTTACTGTTGTCCTCTTTCCTCCTTCACAACCATGTTTATCTCAGATCGCCAACCTTTTTTCGTATTCAATTTTAAGACTCTGGTATTAAGATTTTTTTTTCTGATGCCTGCTTTTTCTTTGTAGGTTTACATCGATTTCATAATAAGCCTGGGCAGTTGCGGCTTGTACGGAAACCAGGCTTTGCAGTGAAACCATCTGCTGGTCAGTCCATCTCTGCCAGGAGGTACACCTCCGATACTCCTGGATCTGATATTTTACAAAATCTTCCAACAGTTTACTAAAAGCAGAGGTGTAGAGGTTTGCATTTTGTAAGCCTTGCAAATAAGTCTGCATATATACACATAGATGTTAAAATATATCTTGGGATCCAAAGAATCCCACTCTTCTGAAAATTTGGAAACTTCAAGCTCTGAGATTGTGAAATTAGAAATTAAGGGAAAACAATATCTGCTAGTATTTCCTAGCTTGAGGTATCATCAAGGGGGTAAATATGCCTATCCTCCCCCCCCCCCCATCCCCACAAAAGGAACACACAGAAAATCCATCTTGGTTGAATATGTTGAAGTGTGCTAATTGGCTCAAACCGAGCCCTCTTTACTATAAAGAATAATCTATACCAAATTTAGGCATTTAAATGTTGACATTGGTGACTTCCCTGTTCACGTCAGTTACTTTTTGGTTTGCCGTAAGACTTGGGCTTCCATTGTTATTCTCTTTTTTTTACCCCAATTGACATGTTTATATTTTTATCTCAAAGAGTCTTTGACTTTAGGGCTTTGTAGCTGAATGTAAATTCCATCCATTTTAACTTTTAGACTTAATTTGAGTCAAGTCTTGTTTTCTGTCTTTCTACCTGTTAGCAGTATTAACACTCAGTTTAAAACCTGTGAACATCTGTAGTAACAGAACATTTAACTTTCTGCAAAGAGTCATTGCTCACTGTTGTATCACTACAGATTATTCTAGTACTTCTGCAAAAGGAGGTATTTGTGTAAAAATCAAGATCCACCCTTCTCTCCTTGCTTCCATTCTATCTGTTAAGTAAAAACTGTTTCAAGCATTAAAATAACAGTTATTTACTTACCTTTGCTTATGAGTTGGTCTTAGAAAAGGAATAATTTGATCACTTAAAAGAAATGTAGTGAGCTCTTAAGTAGGAAATGCCAAGTAAATTCTATTATGACTGATATGTGAACAGGAAAGATGTGTGGATGCTGTGGAAATACAGATTAGATAAGGCAGACATACACTGAAAGGTTTAAGTTTTTTTCTGATTTTTTAAAAGGGTTAAGTGCATCTGCTGTGATTTTGTTGTACGTTCTAGCCTGGAAACGATTTATTTACCCTTGGCAAATAATTACAAACTTGAAAACAACTATATCTCTAAATATGACAAAATTTTGTACTTCATTGCTAGTGATTGCCAGCATCATATGCTGCAGAATGGTTATAAAACAATTTTGCTTAGTAAAAAAATTATTTCACAGGTGGTATGTTTCTCACTTGACATTTGATCTTTCTTTCTCTTCTACTTCTGTTGACATCTGCTCTGCCCTTACAGTATCTGAACTGTTTTTCTAGTTCTACACTTTCATCAATGCTTTTCAGTTTGTTTCTCAACCACATTTAATGGGAGAGGGAACCCTGAATATTAACAGCAAAATACTTTCAACCTGTATCAACCCTATCGTTATTATAATAAGGTAATGATAAGTAGTCCCCTGAGGGAACATGTAAGGGTTGTATAGTATAATAGTACCTATGTTGTCCTTTTAATTATTTAGACAATATAAATATATACCCATAAAGTAAAGTATCTTATTATTGCAGAACTTAACAGTAGCCGAATTCTTCGGGAAAATACAAACTTACAGGACTTCGGGCTTTTTTTTTTCTTGCCGAATGGATAATTGGAAATGATATATTTCACATTTATATTATCTACTAGTCTACTGCTCTGTTTGTCCCATCCCTTTACTGTTTCTTCATAACATGATGGGAACCGCAAGGTTGCAGTTAGTGGTATTTTTAGAAGTATCTAAGTAATTTAGGGCTGTATTTTCCTTGAGTGTTCACATGGTTTGTCCACCTTTGTACTTAGAAAAAAGTCATGATATTTTCTCAAAAGACCACTCAGTAGATGTTATAAGGTATTTAAATATTTACTGTTAGTCCAGGAAGAACTAAATGAATATTTCAAGAATAAAGAAAATAACTACATCAGTTTATCATGGGATTCTTGTAACAAACGTTGGTTGCAGCTTCCAGTGAGAATCATCTGAATGATAGTTGCACAGGTCCTTGAACAGCTTAATGGTAATAGTGCCATAGAATTTCTCTTCTTTAAGTAAATCTCCCAATTTGTATATTGGTTGGCTTGAGACCTTATTGAGAAGGCTAATGTGCCATATCTCATTGCATAATATTAAAATTGGTAGATACAGTTCATGTGTGGTTCTCACAGCATATGAACTGTTAATTGATCAAAAAGTCTTTTCCTACTAAATGAAAGCATACTATTCTTCACACAAGTCTTATCAGTAACTCAGTTTTATATATGGTCTTACTTAGTAAGTCATCCATTAGACACTTATCCAAATATTAGCTATTCTTAAATACTGTCTACCCTTTCTTATGATGGTATAGGCTTAATTCCAACAAGCATGAGTTGCATTTCTTGATTCCTTAGTAAAACACACCCCCTGTATCTAGAACAATAACATACGATGTGTACACCTTGCCATTTTAACATGAAAGCTTGAAATCGGGCAGTTCTAATCATCTGGTACTTAAAAACCATTTATCATCGGAACAAAATCTCACATTTGGAAGCAAAATTGTTGTGGGGAATCTGTTTTTCCATGCAAGGTATACATGATAGGGTTCTGGGAGCGTCTTCGGACTATGACAGCTACGTAATAAGGTCTTAAATTGTTTCTAGATCAACATGATGCATACTTTTAAAAACTGCATCTGCATAAAGGGTTTTGTGACTAAAACTGCTTGTTTTCCTACAGACCTGTCTGGTGTTTCTCAGCTTGAAGAAGAAGATCAAGAGTCATTATTGATCCCTTTTCTTGGCGTTACCATTTTGAAGTGAAGTTTGCCTAGTTTTCTAGAGTGAGCTTTCTTTTCAGACATCTCTAAAGTTTGATCCATAATAGACTATCTATAGTTCAGCAATGTCCAAGTCATTCCACCAAGCATCTCTAAGTAGGGATTCCCAGGGTCATGGACGTGATCTTTCTGCAGGAATAGGCCTTCTTGCTGCTGCTGCTACCCAGTCTTTAAGTGTGCCAGCATCTCTTGGAAGGATGAACCAGGGTACGGCGCGTCTTGCTAGCTTAATGAATCTTGGAATGAGTTCTTCATTGAATCAACAAGGAGCTCATAGTGCGCTGTCTTCTGCTGGTGCATCTTCTCATGCCTTACAGTCTATATTTAACATTGGAAATAGAGCTCCACTCTCTCTGTCTTCTCAGCACCGTGGAGATACAGAGCAGGCCACTAATATTTTGGCCAGCTTTGGGTTGTCTGCTAGAGACTTAGATGAACTGAGTCGTTATCCTGAGGACAAGATCACTCCTGAAAACTTGCCTCAAATACTTCTGCAACTTAAAAGGAGGAGAGCTGAAGAAGGCGCATCACTGAGTTATGGTAGAGATGGCAGATCAACTGCACGGGAGCCACCATACAGAGTTCCTAGGGATGATTGGGAAGAGAAAAGGCATTTTAGAAGAGATAGCTTTGATGATCGTGCTTCTAGTCTCAGCCGGGTGGTTGACTATGATCATGGAAGTTGTTCGCAAGAGTCTGTTTATTATGACAGAATGGATTATGAAGATGACAGATTAAGAGATGGAGAAAGGTGTAGGGATGAATCTTACTATGGCGAAGGTTCGCATAAGTTTCGTAAATTTGACAGTGAGTATGACAGAATGAGCCGTGGCCCTGAGAGATCTCTCTTTGAGAAAAAAAGAGGTGCTCCTCCTGAGAGCAATGTTGAAGACTTCCATGGATTCTTACCGAAGGTTTATCCCCATCTGTGCTCTATCTGTGATTTGCCTGTTCATTCCACTAAGGTGAGTTAAACATCAGATGCTATTTTTTCTTTACTTTATAGTCCCTGTTGCTTGTTTCTTGCCTCGGTTTCTGTGTTCTGAATACTTAAACAAAGACCCTAAAAGAGTTTAAGTAGAAAATATATTTGATTTATTTTCAAGGCATCATTAAGAAACATGTGAAACCGAGGATTTACACTAATACATTTTGTTTAACTCACACGGGCTGACTTCTTGGTCAGTTTATATTGTGCATCTGCATATTCTCTTAATCTAGTCTGAGCTAGTGAGTTTCATTTTGTTTTGCAATTATTTAGAGGCTAGAATCAGCATTCCTTCCCATCTGTCTTGATTGCTGATTTTATATTTAAGATGTCTTTGTACATTTCTGCTTTTTCCCTCTTGTCCATGGTCACAGAAAGAGTCAGTCAATGTGTCCTGTAACACTATTTCAGAGTTGTAGTTCACATTTTTGGGAGTTCATTCTTTTGCTTTTTAAAAATACTTTCAAACTGTTTTCATACTACGGCTGAAACTTCTCATTTTTTCTTCCCCTTTCACAACTTTCTCAGATACTTCAGATTCACTTTTTATTATCACATATTGCATCTATCCCTTTTTACAGTCTCAAACATCAGCCTTCTGCTGTTGTGCAATATCATACTTTGTTGGCATTCCCTGCGTAGAGTAGATCTCTATTAAAATTGTGATCAGACCACTCTTGGTTCATAATTTTGTTCTCGAACAAAAGATCATTATTCAGATTTTCTGATTGTTTTACAAACTGTTCATCTGTCTGTCAGTTGAATAATAAAGTGAACTATTGATATTACTGTGCTCACATTTTATTTTCAAAGCTTGTAGCAAAAAATACAGGTAAGAGTCTTGCACTTTGCTTTGAACTGTTTCATTGGGTTGTCATTAACACTTCACGGTAACTATTCGAATTTCTATGTCCCTTACTCATGGAAAATGCCTTAGTGGAACAGCTGTTTTAAAACAGAAAAATGAAATGTTTCATTTCCTCATCTCACTTCTCTACCAAATTCTTCTGCATCTGAAAGTTTGCATTTTTCGGTCCTTAGTATCTTTGTCTCTTCTAGCAGTAGAATAGATTTTAAGTCATTATTTTTGTTCACTATATGTCCCACCTTTCCCTCCATCACCAGGAACCAAAAGCAACTAATTTTGGCAATCACATATTTCAATATATAAATCCTGTTGTATTATTCAGAACATAACTGTTATCTTCCGAACAACTGACTTTTCAGCATATTGAAATTTATAGTCACTTGATGTATATTAAGTGACCAGTTTCAAAAGTAGCATATTTTCTACTCTGAGAGCTCTGTTACCCTCCGATCACACTATAGGGGTCAGACAAAGTTGTATCTAAGCCAGGAAAGAACCTGGAATTTTTTTTGTGTCTTTTGGGATCTTTTGCTTGGGGAAAACAGCCAAATGTTTAGTAATATCCTGGCTGCTGGTCCTAGTACAATAAGAACAAGCAGCCTGTTTTATCAGTGAACTTATGTCCATTGGAATATTGAGGCTCCCTAACTGTTTAAATAAGTGTATTCCTATTAGTATAGGGGTCAGACAAAGTTGTATCTAAGCCAGGAAAGAACCTGGAATTTTTTTTGTGTCTTTTGGGATCTTTTGCTTGGGGAAAACGGCCAAATGTTTAGTAATATCCTGGCTGCTGGTCCTAGTAGAATAAGAACAAGCAGCCTGTTTTATCAGTGAACTTATGTCCATTGGAATATTGAGGCTCCCTAACTGTTTACATAAGTGTATTCCTATTAGTATACAGTATGAAGTTCTAAGCTTGTTCTAATTCCCGACGACTGCCCAGTACTGTATTTTATCAATTATAAGACTGACTTTTCCCCATATAAACATTTTGAAAAATGAGGTGTGTCTTAGAATTGCGGGTGCCATATATATGGCTTTTTCTGTTGGTGTTACTGAAATGTGTGTCTTAGAATCAGTGGCACCTTAAAATCAATGAAATACAATAATTTTGAATTTGAGAAGCTGATTCATAAATAGATGGTTCCTTTCAAATGTTTTAAAGTAACAGTGATGTGCATTTTGTGCTTTAAAAACTACATAATCCAGTAGTATACATTATGTAAATATAATCAAATCCCGTACTGTAGACATCCATCTATATGCTTTAAAACAGTAGATTGAGATTTGCTTTAGCTAAAAGCTGCTCTGCAAAGTATATATGAAGCAGAGACTAAACACACTGATACTGTCTTTATGAGTCTTAAAGCCAGTAAAAAGGTCTTCAGTTGAGAAGGGGTTGTATGGTCTTTTAGCTTATTCCTAATTCCCTACCCATGACTACATTAGCTCATAGTATAGCAGTTCTTTGCTATCTGCTGGCATTTGGCTCCAAGACTCCCTGTGAATATCTAAATCTATGGATGTTCATGTCTCAGTATATACAATGACATAATGAAATAGTGCCACTTAAATAAAATGTCAAAATCAAGGTTTGCTTGAATATTTTCAAGCCATGGATGGTTGAATCCTTGGATGCAGAATCTATGGGTACAGCATGCTGACTAAAAGTAGAAGAGCCTTAAAAGGTACCCAGCTTTTGTTAGAAACTGATGAAAAATGCAGGAATGAGCAATAGCTGTGAAGAAGGACCTGCTTCTTCCTCAATGTCTTTACATTTGAAACCTAAAAACATTTGTTCTGCTGGAGTGAAATCATTGTTAGATGTAGTTCTACAGATGTAAAAATAATAGAAGTTTCCCCTTTTTGTGTGTGTGACAGCATCCTATCTTAATTTCAATAGCATTCCTAGTGTCGTGCCCAAAATTATTGACTGTTTTTCTCCCTCTGTCTTAATGCAGCTTTCTGCAGAGGCCTGAGATCATATGAGTAATAAATGAAAGCGGCTTCAGTTGGCTTACATTCAAATCCAGTTTTCGTGTTTTTAAAGCCGGTCCTAAATAGTTTGTATCACTCAATGTCAAATTGCTATATGCATTTAAAATACTTGCTAATGAGGAATATTTTTGCTTATGCACAATAGGGAATTTTCTTTTGACCAGTCATTCTTGCCCTTTGTAGCCCCTTTATCACCCAAAAAGTTGTTACTCTGGCTTAAAGAATCTTTCTATATAACAGAAATTGTAGCAGAGAAGGCTGCATAAGATTGAGGTAGATGATGACAATTGGCTGACTTACCTTACATGAACAGACATGGAAATGCATTCCAATAATACAGCCAGTTTTGAAAATATCCCAATATGTATTTGAATATGGAGAGGAAATAAGTGCACATTACAGTTATTTTAGTCTTGTTTTCCCTCTTATGGGCAGCCGTTTACCCTGTGGCAAAACTCTGCAATTGAGTTGCAGACATGTCCTTACGATTTTTAAAAACAGTTAAACAGTAAGATAGCTATAATTTACACATGTTGATGGACTGACAAATGATTCATAAAGCATTGGGAATATGTGTAAAATAGCTACTATTTTATGTTATTGATTATTCTGACTGTATTTTTGCTACAGGAGTGGAACCAGCATATCAATGGAGCAACACACAGCCGGCGCTGTCAACTTCTCCTTGAAATGTATGGATTTGAAATTTGAAATACCCTCTTTCATTTTAATTGCTATTTACCATTTCAGAAAGCACAAACTTTTCTAACAGTTTTCCTTCCCATAGGAAGCATTTCCTTAATTTCCTTTTTTTTTCAAAGTGAAAATAAGCCCGGACATTCTTATATTATAAACAATAAAATATTTTTGGGCTATTTTACATAATTTATCAGAAGTATTATGTCATTCATACTTTTATTGTAGTGAAATGTGCCATGAATACATATGCTACTGCACTAAAAATGGTTTCCATAACTGGGATTTAATTTGAATTTACTTCTAACTATGTGTATAATGGATCTTTGCACCCAAAGTGACTTCTGCATTTCCTTGTAAGAAAGATGAATTATATTCCTCATTGGTGAAAAGAATGTTGCGTAAGAATGTATTAGTGCTTTAAAAATAAATACTAACATTGACAATATTGAGGAATCAGCAGTTTTTTCCTGTTTTGATTTTATTATTCAGAATTTTAACTCTGAGAAGATATAATTGCATAATACCTCTCTAACTGACTTTTTTCACTTTAAAGATATCCTGAATGGAACCCGGATAGTGATTCTGGACTTGGGCTGTAAGTAAAAAAAAATACTTTGCAGACAGCATGAAACAAATTGAAGGCACATGGAATCAAGACATGTTTCCATTTTAATTCCCAGTAACATGTGGCTGATTAGTTCTGTGGTTAGGTGAAGTAACTTCCTGCCTCTGGATTTGATGTGCAGGGATTTATTCATATAAGCTTGAACCTCAACAGTATCTTATAGGGAAGAAATATATTTATCACTTTCTCCTTGTGGAGCTGTGCAGGAATGTTTGCGGAGAATAAAAAGAGAATTGGAGAGTCTTTGTGTCACATCATAAAACTCCCAAACTCTTAGGGGTTTTTTTTTTAACGCTTTTCAAGAAAATATCAGTTTTTGTTGAGTTCTAACCTGATTTTTTATGATTTCAGCGTGGTCAGAGTTGGTTCACCTATCACATTTTTTTAGATCTGGAACTTACGATACATAAGATATTTTGAAACACTACTCTCCATTTTTCTATTTAAGAATAATAGTCAAACCTTGATTGTTTAGTATTTGTAAATATTAATTTATTATTATCAGACAGCCTTTATTCATGCTTGCTGAACTATATTAAATGCATATACCTCGTAGAATTGAACATTACATGTCCTTAAAGGAACCTTTGTCACTGCTATGATACTGAGTTTTGACCTTGGTATGGGCTGTCCTATTGGCTGTAGTCACTAACATGACCAGTTCCATTCACTTTCTCCATCCCTGTACTAGTATCTGCACCTGAAAGTAAACAATGAAGCAACAGGATTTCTATTACTTTTATCTGTTATCGTTTACTTACAAAAAATACTGGAATTTATGTGAAATACTATGTTTTGTTTAAAAGTTAACAGGGCTTCATTTTTTCTGTGTTTTAACTTCTAGGGGTGATCCATTTAGGTTGCAGTCCACAAATCCAGCTCCAGGAATTTTGGGGCCTCCTCCTCCTCCATTTCATATGGGAGGGCCACCACGTGGATCAAGAGGTAATAAGATTAAATGCATACCTGAGTAGACTCTGAAACCTGAAGAAGCACTACTTCAAGTTACCAGATTTCTTTGATTCTGAAACACACCTTTTCCCTATATAAACATCTCTAAAAATGGGCTGCACCTTAGAATTGCGGGGTGTTTTTGTTTTTTTCTGACGGCCCCTAAAATCAAGAGCTGGTACCAAATCGGCCATGTTTCCCAAGAGGGAAAGGTGGAGAGCAAATATTAACCTCTTTGGCCTGAGAAATGCATTCCCAATAAGTAGCTTGTGAGAATGACAGAGATCTTGGAGATTTTGCAGGGGAGGCATGAGCTGGTCCCCTATTATCTTAGAGAAGGTATGGTGCGGGTAAGTGTTTTTGCAGGTCCACAAAGCAGTATATCCCAACACCAGGTGAAAGGCCTCCAAAAGAGGGAAAGGGAGCAGGCTCCACCTCAACCAGCAAAATAGAGAGGAAGAAGAGGAAGGGCCACAAATGGCCCTGCCAAGCCTCCATTATTTTGTAGTCAGCTTCAGCCAGGTAGTTGTTTATTTTTTACTATAGACGTTTCCTGCTTCTGATGCCTTCCCAACAGGCCCATACTTAATGTAGACATATGCAAACAGATGGATTTCTTCACACTCCCTTCTCACCCTATAGAAAGATTGCACTACACATTGACTAATCAGGAGAGGCTTTAATCAGGAAGTAAACCAGATGATACTTTTCCTTTCACCTCCAGGGCCAATATGACTTCTCCTGGAACAGCCTTCTAAAGTGGTTTGTTGTAGGTTTTTTGGGCTATATGGCCATTTTCTAGAAGCATTCTCTCCTGACATTTCGCCTGCATCTATGGCAGGCATCCTCAGGTTGTGAGGTTCTAAAGGCCAAAAATATAGTGAAATTCCATGTATGTCACAGTTATTTCTGAACAGCAAATTTCAGCAATTGCATCATGTCAAATAAAATGTGTTCTTTAAGATGCTAGACTATTTTTAAGTTAAAGGGTTTCAGAAACTTAGGCATTAAGAGTTTCTTAAACTTGTTATAAATTCTGAACTGATCAAAACCATTCTCATTTTCCCACAAAAATGATCAATGTATGTGCTTTGAGGCTTGTAGATTTAATTTAAGGGGAAATGTAGATAAAGCATATAATATGTTTACAATTTAAAAAATGAGTCATAAAGTCTTATTTAATGGCTTTTCATGAAGGGTTTGATGGATTCCCATGTTATGATACAGCATATTATCAAGAATCTAATTATATAATGATTTCTCTTTTCCCCTCTCCTCTTCTTTTCTGGTGAATATCTAGGGGCTGGAAATGGAAGTATGCAAGGACCAAGGCATTTGCAAAAGGGCAGAGGGGTTAGTATTGAAATAAGTCTACAGATTTTTTTGATTGCAATAATTGTCAAATATATGGTATGAGGGCCTGTCATTGTGATGGTTATACTAATTCAGAATGCAGAATCACATTAGTGAATGTACAAAAATGTTTTCGACATGGAACAAGTATATTGGAAAGAAGAGCGTTCAGAAATATCAGTTTGATGTGATGCAGCCCAGTAAGAATATGAAATAAGAACTGAATATGAGGCTCTGCTATCTAATCCATTTATAATAATCCAAAATTTACTGTTGGGGATCCCCAAGTCTCTAATTTTAGCACTCTGCCCAAAATGTTAGAAGAGCCACACCCATATTTGCAGGTGTGCCTTTTGAGAATATACCATTTCATTGCATAATAAGTCGCCATCGCATAATAGTCGCACCCCCATTTTTGGGGTGCTAAAATGGTATAATAGTTGCACCCTCACTTGAGGGTGATTCTCCTTACCTCCCTGCCTACCTCCCTCCCTTCTTTCTCTGAAGGCAAGGCAGTTTAAAAAACCTAAAATGGAGGCGTCTGGAACTTGGATCATCCCTCTTTTCTCCAAAGAACTCCATTTCAGGTTTTGCAAACTGTTTTGCCTTAAAAGAAGGAGGGAAGGGTGCAGCTTCAGAGACTTCTATTTTATAGTTTTAAATTTGCCTTCCCTTCAGAGAAAAAAAGGAGGAAGGGAAAAACAGCCCCCAAACGGCTCTACAGGTTAAACAAACAAACATAAACTGAGGTGTCTGTTTGAGGCTGGGTCATCCCTCCTTCTCCCATTTCAGAAATAAGGAATTTTATTTATTTAAAAAAACACACACAATTTTTCCCTTACTTAATAGTTGCACCCCTCTGATTGTGGTAAAAAGGTGGAAAGTCTGACTGTTATGGAATGAAGTGCAGTATATTTTCTGGTCAGATTGTCTGCCTTTTACTTTCTGCATATCACATGAATCCAGGATTTGGGTTGTTAGTACTTCCTTTTATTTTAAATTACCATTCCTGTGCTCATCAGATAATTGGCTAAATGACTTTCTAATGAATCAGATGGGCATTTTAAACATTCATTTAACATACTAGTCACTATTGCCTGCCATCAACAGGAAACAAGCCGTGTTGTGCACATCATGGACTTTCAGAGAGGGAAAAACCTGAGATTCCAGCTACTACAGCTTATTGAACCATTTGGAATCATTACAAATCATCTAATCTTGAACAAAATAAATGAGGTAAGCATTTGTCGAAGTGTAGTACCATAAATCCATCCAGTCAATGAAAACAAGACATGGGGCTGACTAGTTCAGATCACGAACTTCTTATTGCACAATTTAGAATCAAGACTAAAGAGATCAGGGAAAACAAAAGAGACCAGTTAGATATGGTCTCACTAACATTCCTAGTGAATATGCAGTGGAAGTGAAGAACAGATTTAAGGGACTAGATTTAATAAATAGAGTACCAGAAGAACTATGGGCAGAGGTCCGTGGCATTGTTCAGGAGGCAGCAGCAAAGTACATCGCAAAGAAAAAGAAAACCAAGAAGGCAAGATGGTTGTCTGCTGAGACACTGGAAGTAACCCAAAAAAGGAGGAAAGCAAAAGGAAGCAGTGATAGGGGGAGATATGCCCAATTAAATGCACAATTCCAGAAGTTAGCCAGAAGAGATAAGGAATTATTTTTAAACAAGCAATGCATGGAAGTGGAAGAAGACAGCAGAATAGGAAGGACAAGAGACCTGTTCCAGAAAATTAGAAACATTGAAGGTAAATTTCAGGCGAAAATGGGCGTGATAAAAAGCAAAGATGGCAAGGACCTAACAGAAGCTGAAGAGATCAAGAGAAGGGGGTGAGAATATACAGAAGATCTGTATAGGAAGGATAATAATATCGAGGATAGTTTTGATGGCGTGGTGAGTGAATTAGAACCAGACATCCTGAGGAGTGAGGTTGAATGGGCCTTAAGAAGCATTGCTAACAACAAGGCAGCAGGAGACGACGGGATCCCAGCTGAACTGTTTAAAATCTTGAAAGATGATGATGGCAAGGTAATGCATGCCACATTCCAGCAAATATGGAAAACACAAAAATGGACATCAGACTGGAAAAAAAATCAACTTATATCCCCATACCAAAAAAGGGAAATGCTAAAGACTGCTCAAACTTCCGTACAATGGCCCTTATTTCTCATGCCAGTAAGATAATACTCAAGATCCTGCAAGCAAGACTCCAGCAATACATGGAGAGAGAGAGTTGCCAGATGTACAAGCCAGGTTTAGAAAAGGCAGAGGAACAAGAGACCAAATCGCCAATATCTGCTGGATAATGGAGAAAGGCAGGGAGTTTCAGAAAAACATCTATTTCTGTTTCATTGACTATTCTAAAGCCTTTGACTGTGGATCATAATAAATTGTGGCAAGTTTTTGGTGGTATGGGCACACCAAATCACCTTGTCTGTCTCCTGAGGAATCTGTATAAGGACCAAGTAGCAACAGTCAGAACTGACCACGGAACAACAGACTGGTTCAAGATTGGGAAGGGCGTACGGCAAGGCTGCATACTCACCCAACCCTTTTAACTTGTATGCAGAACACATAATGTGATGTGCAGGGCTTGATGAATGCAAGGCTGGAGTTAACATTTGCTGGAAGAAACATTAACAACCTTAGATATGCATATGATACCGCTTTGATGGCCGAAAGCGAGGAGGAGCTGAGGAGCCTTCTAATCAATGTGAAAGAAGAAAGTGCAAAAGCTGGGTTGCAGTTAAACATTTTAAAAACCCCAAGATTCTGGCAACCAAACTGATTAATAACTGGCAAATAGAGGGAGAAAACGTGGAGGCAGTGACAGACTTTGTATTTCTAGGTGCAAATATACTGCAGATGCAGACTGCAGCCAGGAAATCAGGAGAGGCTTACTTCTTGGGAGGAGAGCAATGACCAATCTCGATAAAATAGTGAAGAGTAGAGACATCACACTGGCAACAAAAATCTGCATAGTTAAAGCAATGGTATTTCCCGTAGTAACCTATGAATGCAAGAGCTGGACCATAATGAAAACTGAGTGAAGGAAGATAGACGCTTTTGAACTGTGGTGTTGGAGGAAAATTCTGAGAGTGCCTTGGACCGCAAGAAGATCAAACCAGTCCATACTTCAGGAAATAATGCCTGACCCTTGTTGGAGAGGATATTAGAGACAATGTTGAAGTACTTTGGCCACATCATGGAGAGACAGGAAAGCTTAGAGAAGACAATGATGCTGGGGAAAATGGAAGGAAAAAGGAAGAGGGGCCAACCAAGGGCAAGATGGATGGATGGTATCCTTGAAGTGACTGGCTTGACTCTGAAGGAGCTGGGGGTGGTCACGGCCGACAGGGAGCTCTGGCATGGCTGGTCCATGAGGTCACAAAGAGTTGGAAGCAACAATGAATAAACAACAACAAAGTACCATAAATCATATTTTTCCCACTTTATTTTGAAACTGTATCAATTCAAAGATTGAGCAACGATAAGGTTTTTTTAAACGTTACTTGACACTGGTTGTGGGAAAGTCTGTGTGAAAAGACATATCTGAACCAGGAGGGGGCAACATAAGACCATGTATGCCAGCTTTCATACTATCAAAAATATTTGATACATTATCAAAATTGAACTTTATTTTGTGCAGTCTTTTAGAGAGAAAATTAAACAATGTTAGTATATATTTTTCAACATTAAAGAAATTGCATGTTCCTGGTAAAAACTATGTTACTTGTTTAAAAATTGAAAAATTTAAATATTTCATATGGATAGTGTGGCATTACAAATACACATGCTGCATTGGGTATATATTCAGTAACATATTATAGCCTCCTTGAATAATGTAACTATTATACAATTTCAGGCATTTATTGAAATGGCCTCCAGTGATGATGCACTATCTGTAGTCGAGTATTATTCTACAACACCAGCCTTAGTGTTTGGCAAACCTGTGAGAGTCCACTTATCACAGAAATATAAAAGAATAAAGGTAAGAATATTTCACTTTTAATGTCCAATTCCTGCATTTTTTCTGTGTTTTCTGACATTAAAGTTTACTATAATGGATGAAAAATATTTTCTAAATAGATTTTTTTTGTTTCTTTTTTTTTAAGAAACCGGAAGCAAAACCTGGCCAAAAGTTTGAACCTCCTAAACAAGAACTTGGTCGTGTGATTCATCTCAGTAATTTGCCACATTCTGGTTATTCGGACAGTTCTGTACTTAAGCTAGCTGAGCCCTATGGAAAAATAAAAAACTACATATTAATGAGAATGAAGAGTCAGGTAATTCATATGTTTCACACCTGAAAATGTGCAGTTCTCAATAAACCCTAGCTAATCATTGTGGTAGGCTTATAGAATAATATAAGGGCTTCCAAATAATAAATGTGCATGCATGTTGCTTTGCCAAGAGCTTGAGTGTAGCCTTCTCGTATTTAAATCACATGCATAGTCTTGGAATATTATCTCTGCTTTGTGTATTGCAGGGGAGTGCAAAGACCAACTTACATAGTCATGTTAAGGTATAGCCTGAGATCATTCCAAAGAAATAAACAACTACACTTTTTTATATACAGGTCCAGTTTGACTTAGAAGTTATTCAAGAGAGTTAGGAAAATAGAAATAGAATAGAAGACAGAATAGAGGGCATGTTTATCAAGTTTGCAGGTGATATTATATTGGGAGAGAGAACTGATGCTCCCATTAAACATTGTTGGAATACTACAGGCTAAACGTTTTAAACTCTCTTGTATAGGCTTTCATTGAAATGGAGACCCGAGAAGATGCTGAAGCAATGATGGAGCATTGTGCCAACAAAGCCCTCTGGTTCCAAGGGAGATGTGTGAAAGTAGACTTGTCTGAAAAATACAAGAAGTTGGTATTAAGGGTAGGTAACTTGTATTGGTTCAAGGTGACTCTTAATTCTTCACTGAGCATTCTTTGTTAAGTTATAATAGGAAGTTTTCAGGTTTGTGAGAGCTTTCCAAGTTGGCACAGTAGCCTTTTTTTTTTAGTATGGTGGCCATTGGTTTTGGGAAATGACAACATGTGAAAGATTCTTGTCATGTTGGGTATCAGATTGTCTTTCGCAAATCCCTTGAAGAATTGAAAGCTTCACTTGAATTAACCACGAGGCATATGAGCCACAAATCCATACTTTGTGCAAATTAATAAAAAGTATTATCCTTATTTCAGATTCCCAACAAAGGAGCAGAGGTGATGAAGAAAAGTGATAAACCAAGGTAATATTTCATATGAACAGTTTGGTTTTTTCAAAACAAAACATAAAATAGATAAGCAGGATTTTCTTTTTATTGAAATAGAAGTATTCCCTACAGAAGGTTCAAGTCATTGCTTTGTTTTAAATTACACAGTTAAAGGGATAAGCAAGTTTTGTTTTCTCCTTTTGTAGAAAGAGAGGTCTTTCTCCTGATGGCAAAGACTACGGAAATGAGAAAAAAAGTAAGTCTGACGACAATGAGAAAATGGAAACCAACAGTAATGAAGATAAAGAAGAGAAGGGAGATGACGCAGAGGGGCAAGATACAAAAGACAATGAACAAGGAGACCAAGACGAACCAAATTTGCTTGCTGAATCTGAAGATGAGCTGTTAGTAGATGATGAGGAAGCAGCAGCATTACTAGAAAGTGGTAGTTCAGTTGCTGAAGGTACAGATGTGGCTAATTTGGGTGATGTAACTACTGAAGAAAAGGAAGCAGCTGGTGATGAAACTACTGAAAAAACTGAAGAAGGTACTGTGGCTAGCCCAGCAGGAAAAAAACTCAAAAAGGTAGGGAGAAAAGGTTTTATTTTATATTCCCTGCATTGATTATTCTGATCACGCTTTGGAGCGGTAATGAACCTGTGCCCTCCCTGTAGTCTCTTTCCTCTCCTGTAGAGAGCAATGGTAGCCTTAAACCAAGTGAACTCTAGACTACATGTAGGAATAAATGTGACCCCCCAAGTGTTGTTAATTACAGCTTTGGTCAGCACAGCTAATAGTGAGGCATGCTGAGCATTATAGAGCACTGTTTCTTAAACTGTGGGTCCCGACCCCAAATGGAGTCCCCTTAGCTCACTGGTTCCCAACCTTCAACACCCAGGAATCTGAAGCAGCTTACCAGCTGTTAGGAATTGTGGGAGCTGAAGTCCAACAAAACACCTAGGGACCAAAAGTTGCCTTAGTTCAATGTAGGGATCCTGAAAAAGTTGGCACTAGTATCTGTTTTAGGCATTTGCAAATATCTGTTGTGCAGTTTTTACAGTGAACTCTGCATAAAGTGTTTATTTACTTACTTACTTTGCTTGTATACTACTTTTCTCAGGGGGGGGGGGGCTTAAAGCAGTTTCCAACATATTTATGGCAAAATTTAATGCCCTGTGTACATTGGAAACCTAACTTAAAACAATAACATAATTATTGATAAGATCATAAAAATGTAACAACATTAAAACATGGAGTTAAAAACATATATATATAAACATTGACATCACATAATCCAAAAATCATGGTCCAGGACCATTCTAAATATCAAATATCAATTGTACATAGCCCCTGATCATTCCTTGTATTGCTTATTGCCCAAAGTCTTGGTCCCATAGCCAAGTTTTTACTTTTTTCTGAAGGCCAGGAGGGAGGGCACTGATTTAATATCACCGGAAAGTGAGTTCCACAGCCGAGGGGCCATCACTGAGAAGGCCCTGTCTCTTGTCCCCACCAACTGCGTCTGCGAAGGAGGTGGGACCAAGAGCAGGACCTTCCCAGAAGATCTTAATCTCCACAATGGTTCATAGAGGGAGATACGTTCAGACAGGTAAACTGGGCCGGAACTGTTCAGGGCTTTATAGGCTAAAGCCAGCACTTTGAATTGTGCTTGGAAGCAGACTGGCAGCCAATGGAGCTGGTGTAACAGGGGTACTTTGTAAAAAGGCAAATATAGTACTTCATAAAAATGAAAAACGACTTGTATAGCAGCCATTTAGAATGCTGCTTTGTTATCAGCAAATACTTGAATGCACATACGCGCGCACACACACACTTGGGATAAAACATATTTGGGCAAAAAGGATCACAAGTGGGAAAAGGAGCCCCGATTTAGAAAGCCACACAATTCTCATCTGTTCTGTGCATTACTCAGGATACATAGTTATTAGGAGAGAGCTGAAAGCTAAAGTAACTTGAAATTGTTCTCTGAGAAAGGAAATCAGGAGGGAAAGGGTTTGGGATGCCTCAGTAAATTTGGGGGGGGGGGGGTGGCATCCCTTTTCTTTACCCCCGTGATTTATTTGGAGGCAAGGACACAAATTAGGAAAATGTTTATAGTCTTAAAAGCATGGAGGGAACATATTGGCTTCCTTACAGAAGTACAGTAGAGTCTTGCTTATCCAAACTTCACTTATCCAACATTCTGGCTTATCCGACGCCCCCTTTTCCTCCAGCATTTCCCCTTCACTTAAAGGAGTGCTCTCCAACTCTTTCCATTCCCAATAAGTGAAGAAGGCAAGATGAGGAGGAAAGAGGGAGAAAAGGCAGGCTCGGAAGTGGAAGCGTCCTCCCTCCTTCCCTCTGTGATTTCCACGCTCCTCTTCTGCATCAGGACACTTGCTGCTGGGCTGCCTTGTCTTAATGTTTTGAGTCCCTGTTGTTAGTATTCTAGGTGTCTAGTGCCATGTCGGAAGGGTAACAGTAGGAGACTTCGTAGTATCCAACATTTTCATCTATCTGACATTCTGCCGGCCTGTTTATATTGAATAAGCAAAACTCTCCTCTACTTTAAAACTTCCATCTTTTGCTGAGGGTCTGGGCACTGGCTGACTACCTTTAGCTCCTTTATTTTTATATATATATATATCTTCATTCCTCCTATTCTAGTGACAGAACTACTGTAAGTAACCCCACTAGTGCAGCTCTTCTCAGACTTTTTTACCATGGAGGAACCATAGAAATAATTTTCACAGAATGCTCATAAAATGGATCTTTGTGGGAAAAGTTGTCTTTTTTAATGCAACAAGTAGAATAACGAAAATATTTTTTCCCAGCGGCATGTAGGTAGTTTTCCAAAACGCATGGAAGATTTTGTCACTCTTGATGAAGTTGGTGATGAAGAAGATGCAGAGCACCAGAAACTTAGATCTGGCCTTCTTAAATCTCTTGCAACCGAAAGTAAAAATGAAGAAACAGAACAGCCAAAGGAGACACTGGAAAATGGTGCCAAAACAACGAAGACAGAACAAACTGAAGCAAATGATGGCACAGAAACACAAGAAAGTGAGAAAAAGGAAAGCACCAATGAGCAAGATACTCCCAGTGAGAAATGTGCAGAGGATCAGAGAATTGGACCATATCAACCAAACGTTCCTGTTGGTAAGATTGTTTCTCGTCCTAGAGAATATGCACTGGATATAGACTACCAGTATTTGATTCCTTTCTTGCCTTCTATTATGGTTTATTATAATAGAAACTGTGGGCATATCCAGACCGGGGGGAGGGGAGGGGGGAGGCCCTGGAAGTTCTTTTCATTTTACCTGCATCATTGTGGTTTCTCATTCAAGCTCTTTCCTTCTGATTTTTCTCCTTCCCGAATCACATGTCCTTTTAGATTGGGTTGCCCTTCTCCAATTTCCACTGAGACTCTTTTTAATTATTTTTCAGGAGTTACAAAGTTGTAACATACCTTAGCAATATTACATTAGCTAAAACTTGGGATCATTTTCTTCTGATGCTAACATTCCTCATTCCTTCGGTTTATCTCAGTTGATTCTGCTTCCCTGGGAACAGTTGCCATATTTCTTGGTGAAAGCCATCTTAGCTAGCTCTGGGTTGAGAAAAACATACTGCCATGGAGAGGCACAGTTCATTTAGGGAAACATTGGTTTAATTTAAATTGACTGGTGAGTGGGTATAAGAGTATGTGTAACTGCTGGGGTTCCCTGGGAATTGGGAAAGTGTTGTGTAGATCTTTCAGAAACAACAACCAACAAAAACACAAAAGGACAGGAAGAAAAAGGGCCCATTTCATCCAGATGGGCCCTATATTAGTACTTCATTCTGGGCCACCAGAATCTTAATCTTAACAATTATTAAATCACTCTCAGAGTGAATAATTTGAGATTAAAAGCAAGATTGTATGTAGCCAGGAAATTTCCCCCCCAATATTTTAATTAAATTTTTGGCAATAAAAATGCACACAAAAAGAAAAGTCACAAAACTTATGAGTACATTAACATGGACATACTTAGACAACATTTACCTTATGAACATTCATCTCTACCTATAATTCTAAAACTACCAACATATATATAAATTAGCTTTAAAAATAGATTTCTAGCTTCTTGTGTCGGTTTCTCCATAAATTTAACATTTTTTTCCACTTTATATCCAAAAAATGGTTTACTTCTTGTTTTAACATTTACAAATGAATATCCCAACATTTTATGTTTATATTCATCAAACCTGTCTATAAAGTATTTTCCTTTCCCTCCAATATAAATTGATAAAATGGTTTGCATTCTTGTAGGAATCTGTTCGGTGATTTATCCTTCAACAGCATTATTAATTTGTCCATTTCTATTAATTTCTACATTTTCACTGTCCAGTCACCTAATTTTACACCTTTCTGCCACATTTCCCCCATTTTTCCAGTTCTGTACTACATCCAGAATTCTGTGTCCATTTTACAATACAGTCTTAATTATTTCTTTCCATTTCCAATAAAAACTCATATCATGATAGCCGTTTTTATGTATTTTAATCATCCCCTTAGGGTTTATATCTTAACTATTAATTATGTTATTAGTATAATTATGTTTATTTCGTTACTCGTATTCTGTTTTTCCTTTTGATAATTTCTCTTTTGTTATAAGTTTACAGTTATTATTTTGTATTATTTTGCATTATTTTGAGGTGTCTATTCGCTTATGGGCTTTGAATGTTTGCCCTTCTTTGTGTGTAAACCACTTTGAGTCCCCTCGAGGAGAGAAGGCGGTCTATAAATATATTATTATTATTATTTTACTGATACAAAAGCACAGTATGTCACAGCAAACGATATCTATATGCTGGACTTCGTATCACAAAATCACAAGTCGAACACTTCCCAATTATTATTATTATTGCTTTCACCAGGAGATCTTTGATTTAAATAAAGAACCTGACTTACTTGTTTTGGGTTTTTTAAAGAATAAAAAGGCTGTGCTGCCAGTTGTTCAGATACCCTGGATCAAATTTGCAAATGTATATTTGTCTCTTTCTTTAGGTGTGAACTATGTGGTGCCAAGAACTGGGTTTTACTGTAAATTGTGTTCTTTATTTTACACAAATGAGGAGGCTGCAAAAAGGGTCCACTGCAGCAGCCTCACACACTACCAGAAATTGAAGGTAAGCCAAAATTTGTCAAGACTTCTTTGGTGCGTTTTGTACCGTTTTGGGGAGGCTTTAAAACCTAAGACAAGGGAGCATTATTTTACGTTTCTTTTAAAAATCAATGTCAAATAAAACATGTGTCAGTTCTCTTAATTTGTTTGACAAACTGAAGGACTCTGGTGATGGTATGGAATTGTTCACACTAGTGATGCACGCTGGTTACATAAGTAAATCCAGTTAAACTCTTCAAAGTGCCATTAAGCTGCCTTAATACAATATAATATACATACTGGTTGTAGCATTCAGTTCATCACAGTATATGGAAAGCATCATAATGCAGAACCTGTAGGATTTGCAGTCACTTCACGTCATCAAAAACCCCAATTGGTACGAGGACACTATTTTAAAGGAATGTTGGACAACATGACTGAGTGCATCAAATGCTTGCTCCGTGAAACTTAAATTACATTTTACTTGTTCTCTACTTTACAGAAACACATGGAGAAAATGTCTGAAGACCAGAAAGCGAAAAAAAAAGATGTGAATGCTGAAAAGGAGGATGCTTAAGAATTTAAGGAAAACATGTTTTATTTTTAATGTTTATGTTTATTTCAGTCCAGCAAAATTGAGGAAATACATAGATTTTAGTAGAATAAATAAAAACGTATAATTCTGTTAATGTGTTTTAATGTTATGGCAAACTCTGCATTCTGAAATCTTTTATTTGTGCAAAGGGGAGGATGACAACATATTTTCTGTCCAGATTTCTGCTTCTAAAGGACTGTTACATAATTTGGAAGAACAGAGAATTTTATCTGCAGTAATCTTTTCAGTCTTTGAAAAATATCTTTAAATGTTCGGGGGTGTTTTTCTTTTTTAGTTAATTTGGTATATTTCTCCCTTCTGGAACATTTTGCATTCCATTTTTGAGTCCAGATACTATTTTCACTGGACTTCCATAATTTCATTTGTTTTAAGACTCATGAAAATTTATGTGGCTTTAAAAATGTGGAAACTTTCTTTTTAGTATTGCTGTATTACATAGTGAATAGAAAAATTTATACCCAGCTTTAACAAATAATCTATTATCTCGGTCCTCATTTTTTGTCCTATTCTTGCAGCAAGTAAGTTCTTAACTGTTTGACCAGTATTACCTTTCAGAGTTTTTGCTTGCAACTTTAAGTTAGTACTTTTCATACAACTTCAGTATAAGCAAAAGGAACATTTCAACCATAAACTGTAAATATTTACCTTTTTTATGTTTGTATTTCAACTCTAATCCTAGATTAGTTACTAAAAGATCACTACTTTTGGATGTTTAAGCTCCATAGTAACATGTCTAGATTGGTGCCTACCATCTTCAGATTGCTTTCATCATATGACTTTGTTTTTAATGTACCTTTACATAGCTGATGTGAACGATGGCTTGTGTGTAAAATCTGTTTTCATGTAGATTTATTAATCACTTCGACAGCTTACTTAACTGTAGATCCAGAGTGTTAAAATGTCAAACCAATAAACTGTCAAAACAAGTCAGGAGTAATTCTTTGTAGTTTTTTCTATGATCCTGTGCATAAGCCATCCATAATTTGGACAAATGCTGGCATTCTCCAGTGGATGCAATTTGGGTGTTCCGCCAATCCTCTGGGAGCAACTTCCTAATACTGGGGTGTCCCATCTATAGCCATGTCAGCTGGGAGAAGAGAATGCTGACGTACTCATTGGAAATTCAAGAAAGTGTTGGCCGATTCCTTCTCCCAGCTGAAGAATTTAATGGAGTGACCATGGCAGCATGCTCCATATATTACTAGAATGCTTCCTTCTGCAGAGGGAGGAAGGGGATTAGGTGAAAACTCCAGACCTCACTTCATTGTCTATCCAGCAGTAACACACTCCTGCTAAAGTTATGCTGAAAGAAGATGAATAAATTCACTGTATCAAACTACTGTACATACATTCAACAGTGTAGATGTAGCCCTAGATTCACCAACCTTCGGGCACGGGAGTTAATAGCTGCTAACAGTATTGAACAGTATTTGCAAGGATCTGTCAGCCACCAGAGTTGTTTGTGCCTGATAGGCCACATGATAATGTGATACAGTAGACAAACATTCACGAGTTGGAGCTGCTGAGCAGTAGCAAAGACCAATTGCCTGGGTTAAAGCAAAAGCATCTACACAATTGGGTTGACAAACCAAGGTGGGACATGGTAGCATAGGAACAGGAGCGGAAGGGGAGGCAAAAGAGACAATAGGCGCTGTCTTGAAAAAATGGCAGCATTGTAGCCCTTTAGCTTTGTAATACAAAAGTAAAAGCTGATTTGTCATCTAAGGATCCTGTTTTAATTCAAGCTAGGAGAGACGGAAGGTGTAAAGCTCTGCATAGAATGGGCTTTGCCACTTGCCCAAAGCCTCATGCGGTCTTGGCAGTACGACCAGATTTGGGTTAAAAATGTGGATTCTGCATTTACAGTCTGCTTTCTGCAGTAATTTTTCATGCTTCTGCACATCTCCAGTAAATTAATATTTAGAAAAAAACATTGTACAGTGTAGAGGTAAATACCTTGGAGATCTGCTTTAAAACCTGGATTCACTGTTCTACCTATATCGGTAGTTCCCAACCTTTTTTTTTTTTGATCAGGGACCACTCTCTGACATTAGTACCAAAAGGGTTACGAATCGGTTTTTGGTCAACTTTAGATTTGGTTTGGTTCTTTGGGATGCTGATTAACAAAATTGCACTGGATAGACCACATCAGCTCTAGTTTCCAATACAGAACATATGCCACCCAGTAGTCACCATCTGCTCGCCTACAGAAAACCATAATTAATAATCTAGAGCTGATGTAGTAGTACTCTTTCATAGGTAGGCAACCTCTCCCCTCCCAACGTCCCCATTGCCTCGGCACTGTAAGAGGGTTCATGAGACCAGTCGCTCTTGTTGCCATGTGGTTTTGAAACAAATGTGTCATAGTGAGGCTGTGGACCATATTTTCATAGGGATCATTGATTTATAGGAATCACACTAGCTATCACAGATGTTGGCTGTCATCCCTGCTGAATCGATGAAGTGGGATATCCATTAGCCATCTCTTCCATTGAGATTTCACATGTACTTTTAGGAAACTTCTCCCCAGAATTACCAGCCACGGTTTTTGGCACATTTGAGTAGTAAGATAGGGGAGACCCAAGGGACCATAAACCATACTTAAATTTTGTGGAATGTCCATAGCATTTCTATGCCGCTCTCAAACGTACATAAAGCAATGTGTTAATTATTCATAGCAATAGTTAGCAGTTATACCGGTTTCACTCTCACTGTTAATTTTACACATTTAAGCGCAGGACATACTTCAAGTATTGAAAAAGGGGGTTGTTTTATGTGTTCGCATCATTTCCCAAGGCAACTCCACCATGGACAAGATTTATTCAGGAGTTTGCCTTTGCTTCCTTTGAGGCTGAGAAAGTGTGACTCAGCCAAGGACATCCAGGATTACCATGGTTGAGCAGGGATGTGAATCTTGGTCTCTTGTGCCTTAGACAACACTCAAACAACTAATGGCTCTTGTAGTTCCCGTTTGGCCAGAGGTTCTTCTGTGGATCAATAAAGTAACAAATCAGGAGGTATGGTTTCAGTGTCCTTCACAGATAACCATCAATTTAAAAGAAAAGCAATGAAAACCCTATCTCAGAACCATTTTAGATGTGTATGTTTCTGGCTCAAAACAGTAGAACTTGCTAACTCTTTAAACCACATGTAACTTTTTGTGTAATTGTTAACATGTTGCCATCGTGACATATACTGCTTTGAAATTGGGTCCATCATTTTGAAACAACTCTGTATTTTGCTTAAGGTCAGCACAAGAACTCTTGAATATGTTTCCTCGAGTAGAAATGGGGGCTGCATAATGTATACCTTATAGCCCTCCAAGTCTGCAATCCAAAATACTAACCGGAGGCCTCCACAAAAACTAGGACTCAAGGCTAAGATCTACACTACAGTCATTCGCCCAGTAGCCCTAGTCTATGGGACAGAGTCCTAGCCAGAAACAAACACAAACAAGCCCTTAACACAATGGAAATGCTGAGATGGACACTTGGCTTGACACTTCTCAACCGTGTGCCAAATTATGGCATCTATCAAAGACTAGGAATAAAAGCGGTCAGCAAGAAAATGCAGGAAGCAAGACTACGGAGGTACGGCCTGTCATGGGAAGAGAATCGACATCAGTGGCACAAACAGCACTACATTTAGAGATTGCAGGATGACGACCACGTGGACAAAGGCGAAAGAAAAGATGGCTGGACACTATCAACAAAGACACACGCTGTCGACCTGAGATGTCCAAAATAAAGCCCTGTAGAAACGACAGTCACAAAGCTAATCGTTCCATTGGGAAAATAGCTTGGAAAGAAGACTGTATTTCAATATAATGTGAAGTTAATACAGAGTTTGGGGTATAGCATTGGGCCTATTTTTAAATGTGATTCTCAAGGAACCAGAAACCCCATTTATGCATCTAACTAAGGCCCCTTCCAGATAACTAAGGCCCCTTCTATACTGCCATATAAAACCCAGATTATCTGCTTTGAACTGGATTATAGGAGTCTTCACTGTGGCCCCTTCTACACTGCCATATAAAGATTATCTGCTTTGAACTGGATTATAGAAGTCTACAATGCGACCCCTTCTACACTGCCATATAAAATTCAGATTATCTGCTTTGAACTGGATTATAGGCATCTACACTGCAGCCCCTTTTACACTGCCATATAAAATCCAGATTGTCTGGTTTGAACTGGTTTACAGGCATCTACACTACAGCCCCTTCTACACAGCTATAAAAAAAATCCAGATTATCTGCTTTGAACTGGATAAGAGGACTCTACACTGCGGCCCCTTCTACACAGCTATATAAAATCCATATTATCCGCTTTGAACTGAATTATAGGCATCTACACTGCAGCCCCTTCTACACTGCCATATAAAATCCAGATTATCTGCTTTGAACTGGATTATAGGCATCTACACTGCAGTCCCTTCTACACTGCCATATAAAATCCAGATTATCCGCTTTGAACTAGATTTACTGCGGCCCCTTCTACACAGCCCGTATAAAATCCATTTTACCTGCTTTGAACTGGATTATATGGCAGTGTAGACTCATACAATCCAGTTCAAAGCAGATAAAGTGTGTAATCTGCTCTGATAATCTTGTTAATATGGCGGTATAGAAAAGGCCTGTATTGAAGATCACGGCGCTTGGTAATATCTCTTTAAAACAATAGAGGCGCCCTCTTTCTTTTCTAAGGACGCTTCTTCTCCCAACCGGGGCCTCTCTAGCCTTTGGCGACTCTGTGTGCCTCAGCTCGGACCAAGCGGAAGTGCGGCGGCGGCGCGTGAGCGAGGCCCACGACACGCTGAACACGCAGCCGCCGGAAGTGAAGTCACTTCCGGCCCAGGGTGGTTGTTGTGTTTCCCAAAGAAGGGGGTGGCCAAGGCGAAGGAAGAAAGGAGGGGACCCGAGGAGAGGAGGAAGGGAGAGAGAGAGAAGCGCCAGCTCGGAGGCTCCGCGTCTGCCCCGCTTCGACCACGAAGGTGAGGGGAGGGGCTCAGCCTCGGAGGGGAAAGCGGGCATTTGGCTGGCTGGGCGAAATGGGCTCCAGCCTCGCCTCCTCAGCACACCCCCCTCCCGCACCCTCTTCATCCGGGTCCCTCACAGACCGGGCTACCTGGCCATGAGGGGCGTGGCGCGTGACGCGTCGTTCCCTATCAGAAGAGAAGGAGGGAGGGGCGGGGCTTTCGAGGGCGCAGAGTGAGGAGGCGAACAAAGAGGCCTGAGGGGGCGGGGCCCGGGCGCGCGAGGGGGTGGTGCCTGAGGGGCTCTTCCCTGCCCCTCCCTCCCTCCTCTCCTGGGACTCTTCCTTGGCTTGACTTGTCTGCATCTTTGGGCCCCTCCACACAGCCCTCCATCCCAGAATAGTAGAAAATCCCACATTGTGGACTCAGATAACCCAGTCCAAAGCAGATATTGTGGGTTATTCTGCCTTACATTCGGGGATATAGGGCCCTTTCCTATGAAGAAATGCTGAAGGGATTCCATAGAGGAGAAGGAGGATAGTGTTTCT